AATCCAAAAGCACATTAAAAGGATCATACACCGTGATCAAGTGGGGTTTATCCCAGGAATGCAAGGATTCTTCAATATACACATCAATCAATGTGATACACCATATTAACAAATTGAAAAATAAAAACCATATGATTATCTCAATAGATGCAGAAAAAGCTTTCGACAACATTCAATACCCATTTAAGATAAAAACTCTCCAGAAAGTAGGCATAGAGGGAACCTTCCTCAACATTATAAAGGCCATATATGACAAACCCACGGCCAATATCGTTCTCAATGGTGAAAAACTGAAACCATTTCCTCTAAGATCAGGAACAAGACAAGGTTGCCCACTCTCACCACTACTATTCAAGATAGTTTTGGAAGTTTTAGCCACAGCAATCAGAGAAGAAAAAGAAATAAAAGGAATCCAAATCGGAAATGAAGAAGTAAAGCTGTCACTGTCTGCAAATGACATGATACTATACATAGAGAATCCTAAAGATGCTACCAGAAAACTACTAGAGCTAATCAATGAAATTGGTAGAGTAGCAGGATACAAAATTAATGCACAGAAATCTCTTGCATTCCTATACACTAATGGTGAAAAATCTGAAAGAGAAATTAAGGAAACACTCCCATTTACCACTGCAACAAAAAGAATAAAAAACCAAGGAATAAACCTACCTAAGGAGACAAAAGACCTGTATGAAGAAAACTATTAAGACACTGATGAAAGAAATTAAAGATGATACAAACAGATAGAGAGATACACCATGTTCTTGGATTAGAAGAATCAACATTGTGAAAATGACTATACTACCCAAAGCAATATACAGATTCAGTGCAATCCCTATGAAACTACCAATGGCATTTTTCACAGAACTAGGACAAAAAATTTCACAATTTGTATGGAAATACAAAAGACCCTGAATAGCCAAAGCAATCTTGAGAAAGAAAAACGGAGCTGGAGGAATCAGGTTCCCTGACTTCAGACTATACTACAAAGCTACAGTAATCAAGACAGTATGGTACTGGCACAAAAACAGAAATATAGATCAGTGGAATAGGATAGAAAGCCCAGAGATAAACCCACGCACATATGGTCAACTTATCTTTGATAAAGGAGGCAAGAATATACAATAGAGAAAAGACAACCTCTTCAATAAGTGGTGCTGGGAAAACTGGACAGTTACATGTAAAAGAATAAAATCAGAACACTTCCTACCACCATACACAAAAATAAACTCAAAATGGATTAAAGACCTAAATGTAAGGCCAGACACTATAAAACTCTTAGAGAAAAACATAGGCAGAACACTCTATGACATAAATCACAGCAAGATCCTTTTGGACCCACCTCCTAGAGAAATGGAAATAAAAACAAAAGTAAACAAATGGGACCTAATGAAACTTAAAAGCTTTTGCACAGCAAAGGAAACCATATACAAGATGAAAAGACAACCCTCAGAATGGGAGAAAATATTTGTAAATGAAGCAACTGACAAAGGATTAATCTCCAAAATATACAAGCAGCTCATGCAGCTCACAGCAAAAAAACAAACAACCCAACCCAAAAATGGGCAGAAGAGCTAAATAGACATTTCTCCAAAGGAGATATACAGATTGCCAACAAATACATGAAAGGATGCTCAACATCACTAATCATTAGAGAAATGCAAATCAAAACTACAATGAGGTATCACTGCACACTGGTCAGAATGGCCATCATCAAAAAATCTATAAACAATAAATGCTGGAGAGGGTGTGGAGAAAAGGGAACCCTCCTGAACTGTTGGTGGGAATGTAAACTGATACAGCCATTCTGGGGAATAGTATGGAGGTTCCTTAAGAAACTAAAAATAGAACTACCATATGACCCAGCAATCCCACTACTGGGCATATACCCTGAGAAAACCATAATTCAAAAAGAGTCATGTACCACAATGTTCATTGCAGCTCTATTTACAACAGCCAGGACATGGAAGCAACCTAAGTGTCCACTGACAGATGAATGGATAAAGAAGATGTGGCACATATATACAATGGAATATTACTCAGCCATAAAAAGAAACGAAATTGAGTTATTTGTAGTGAGGTGGATGGACCTAGAGTCTGTCATACAGAGGGAAGTAAGTCAGAAAGAGAGAAACAAATACCATATGCTAACACATATATATTGAATCTAAAAAAGAAAAAGTTTCTGAAGAACCTACGGGCAGGACTGGAATAAAGATGCAAACGTAGAGAATGGACTTGAGGACACATGGAGCGGGTAGGGTAAGCTGGGACAATGTGAGAGAGTGGTTTTGACATATATACACTACCAAACGTAGGACAGATAGCTAGTGGGATGCAGCCGCATAGCACAGGGAGATCAACTTGGTGCTTTGTGACCACCTAGAGGGGTGGGATAGGGAGGGTGGGAGGGAGATGCAAGAAGGAGGGCATATGGGGATATATGTATACATACAGCCGATTCACTTTGTTGTACAGTAGAAACTAACACAACATTGTAAAGCAATTATACTTCAATAAAGATGTTAAAAAAAGAAAAGATTTTGGGGGCTGTTGGAATGGATAAATTTATTTTGTATGTGAGAGGACATGAATTTTGGGAGCTAGGGGTAGAATGCTATAGATTGAATGCTTGTGTCCCCACAAAATTCATATGTTGAAATCCTAATCCTCAATGTGATGGTATTAGGAAGTGGGGGTCTTTGGCAGATGATTAGGTCATGAAGGTGGGGCCATAATAAATGGGATTAGTGCCCTTATAAATGAGACCCCAGAATGCTCTCTAGCCCCTTCCAACATATAAGGACATAAAGAGAAGGTGGCAGCTATGAACAAGTAATAGGGCCCTCACCAGAACCTCATGCTGGTGCCTTGATCTTGGACTTTCCAGCCCACAGAACTGTGAGAAATCAATTTCTGTTGTTTATAAGCTACCCAGTCTGTGGTATTTTGTTACAGCAGCCTGAATGTACTAAGACAGACAGGGATAAACATGTGGGTAAAAGGGTTTGGTAAGCTACTGAGCAACACACTAATGTAATGTATTATGCAATCATAATTTCTGCCCTTTAGCTCCCTTTCTACCTTTTAAACTGTCTCCTAAACTGCAGGTTTAAAAATTTACAGTGTCAGGATACAGTTCCTAGAATGTGAAAATCACTGTGCTCTACAGATCTAAAGGAGAATGAGGTTTGTTACTCATTTAAGCACTCCAGGTTGCAAGTGCTAAGGCAGGATTTGGAACCCTGAAGTCCCTAATGGGATTTGTGGGTGTTGAGGCCATAGTTCCTTGGACAAGCTGCTTCTCCTCTGTGAGACCCAGTTTCCTGGTTATTAACCATTTTTCCCATAATCTACGCTTGGCTTCTTTGCTGAGAGAGGCCATGTTTAGAAGTAGGATTGGGTGGAGGATGGAGGCTGTGAATGGAACCACACTGTAAAGCAAGACCCAACTGTTCACCAGAGGCTCCAAGAGAGGACTTTTTTGTTTTATGTCCTCATGGAATGTTGTCCAAATCCTGATAAGTTGTCAAAGAGAGGCAAACCATCCTAGGGCAGTAGACAGTACATACCTATTCTTTTCGTAGAAAAAGAGAAGGCTCTTTCCACAAGGCCAGTACCTTGATCTTCAACTTCCCAGACTGCAGAAGAGTGAGAAATAAATGTTTGTTTAAACATCCAGCCATGTTAGTTCATTATAGCAGCACGAACTGATTACGACAATGTATTTCCATTCTGTGAACCATCCAGGGCTCTCCACCCCACCCCCAAGATGAGCAACTACATGGGACCTGGGTGATGGAAGTGTTAAGGGCAAGATAGGACAGATGGCATTCAGGATTGGCCCAGAATACTGATAGCCCACAGGAAAGAAAACTATTACAAAGAGAACTTTGGGGGAGGCTCTTACAAGAACAGAACATGATCCACATAAGTAGTGACTATGTCAGTGATGGTAATTGCTAGCACAGGCAGGCATGAGGAAATGTCAACTAGAGAAAGTAAGTTAGACCTGGGTCACACACGTGCCTTGGATCTGGACAAAGTCACCTGGCCCGGGAGAAGGCAAGTAAGGTAGGACTCAGGATGAGTACAAGACTCTGGACCCTGCATCCTTCCCTGGGAGTCTGCAGGAAAGCAGGTGTTGGGCCTGCTCAAAGAGAGGAGAGGGCAGTCCTACCAACCACAGCACCTACTCAGGAAACTGAGGAAGCAGTGCCCACAGTCCTGATTTGAGAATGACATAGCTGGTCCTGGGGAAAGAGAAAGGGCAGAGACTATCTCTGGTCACAGGGGTAGGTTTGAGGGTCTTACCCAGGGAGGTTACAAGTGCCAAATTCTCCAGTATCACATCTTGGTACAGGCATCTGTGAGGCTCGTCAAGGAGATTCCATTCCTCCAAAGAGAAGTACATGGCCACATCCTCAAAGGTCACATTTCCCTGCTAAGATGATGACAGAAGAACCAAAAGCAGTCCACTTCTGAGTCACAATCCCTTCCCCCAACATCTATTCCATGCCCACCCTCCTCCCAAGCTCCTTAACTCAGCATTTTGAGAAACTAGGCCTTGGCACCACTGATGCCATTGTGTCTTCATGTGCCCATTAATCCCTGGGTCCAGGAGGCAGGTGGAGAAACATACAGTTGACCTTGAACAACACAAGTTTGAACCACAAGAGTCCACTCATACTTGGATTTTTTTCAATAAATAAATACTACAGTACTCATGATCTGTGTATAGGTAGGGTGAATCAGCAGTTGTGGAACTGCAGATACAGAGGGCCTACCTGTAAACTTTTATGCAGATTTTCGAGTGTGCAGAGGGTTGGTGCTCCTAACCCCTTGTTGCTGAAGGGTCAACAAATCTAAGCCATGGGCCTGGCATAGAGGATCCAGCGGCTCATATTACCCTGGTATTACCAAAGTCTCAATACCAGATGCTGGAACCTTCAGGTATACTCCCTAAGTTCACACCACTCTTTAGAATGCACATCCCTCACATCCCTAGATTCCACAGCCACATGCCCATGGCCACCACCACCACCTTAGGGCCCACACCATAGGCATGTCCTTGGTCTCCCCACATTACTCGTGTCTTAATCAACACCTCTTCATCCCACTGTTGAGGGTGGAATTCCCAGTGTATAGTTATGGAGACAGCCAAACATGTGACATTTGACACTGAACATATGAGATAGACAGCAGTTTATAAATCACATATACTCACAGCCTGAGAGAGGAGGACACACCACACACTACACAGGGCCACATGGAGGTTGTATTCCAGAAGAGAGGCTGTACACCGGGAGCTGTGGGACATAAGCTTTGTAGTATCAAGAGGGAGAAGTGTTCCTTGGTTCCCATGGGACGGTGTGATTGGCTTTGTGCAAAATTCCATGGATTGGTAGGAACTGAAACCTGCTACAAAGGGATGAACAGGAACTGCTCTGGTCTCCTTGCTAAAAAGGGGGTATCTGGTAGGAGCAGAGTGGGGAGGGCAACTTGCACTGAGGACACTTGAGCCATCCCATTTTCTACCACCCATGTTAAGGCTACCCATAACGGGCTTATGCTGCAATTGACAGATGACATAAGATTATGCTTGACATAGTTAAACACAAGCCAGTATGATGCCAGACAGCCCATGGCTTCCACTAGCAGTCACAGTCCCAAAACTTTCTATGAAGATCTCCCTGCCTGGCTCAGTTCCTTGCCTCTGACTTAGTCACACAGAATCACACAAGTATCTCAGACACACATGGCTCTCCTCTACTTGTGTGCTTCACTTGCTGCCCCCTACCACTACAACCTTCCTCTGTCCACCTATCCCTCGTTCAAAGATCAGCCCACAGGTGGCCTACCCCAGGCCTAGTGACTCTCACAGATGACTACATTTGCTCTTGACCTTATCCTCCAGGCTGAATGAAAAACAAGCTCCATGGGCTTCCCTGGTGGCACAGTGGTTAAGAATCTGCCTGCCAAAACAGGGGACACGGGTTCGATCCCTGGTCCAGGAAGATCCCACATGCCGCGGAGCAACTAAGCCCGTGTGCCACAAGTACTGAGCCTGTGCTGTAGAGCCCGTGAGCCACAACTACGGAGCCCGCATGCTGCAACTACTGAAACCCGCGCGCCTAGAGCCCGTGCTCCGCAACAAGAGAAGCCACCGCAATGAGAAGCCCGCGCACTGCAACGAACAGTAGCCCCCGCTCAGCCCCTGCTCACCCCAACTAGAGAAAGCCTGCGCACAGCAACAAAGACCCTACTCAGCCAATAAATACATAAATTAATATTTTTAAAAAAAGAGAGAAACAAGCTCCACCAAAGTCCTCACAAAATCCTGGTGTGTACAGAGAGTGGTAAATAAGCACCAGTTCTGGCTTGAGTGTCATCTCACTTCAATTGCTACTATGACTCTGCATCCATCTCATGTCCAGTCTTTTCTTGGAAGCCTTGGCCACCTGCCAGACAATACTGTCTCTGAGAGCCTCCCCAATTCCTTTTCCACCACCCCAGGTGGGACTCAAGGACTGGGGAAATAGCACTTAAGAGTCCCAAGACACCACAATCCAGACATGTGATTCAGTGTCAGGCCCAGCGAGGGAACGGGACACCTTCCACTTGACTGTGTTGGTTCCATAAGCAGCCATGGAAATGTGGAACAAGTGATGAGTCTGCGGAGGGGTTTGATGGGCTCAGGCTTCCATGTACCCCTGCCTGGCCCTGAAGTCTGGGATAGCTACTTAATCTCTGAGCCTCAGTGATCAGTTCCCCTTTTACAAGGTGTCCCTGTGCCTGTCACCCTCCCCCACTTGCCACCACACTGTCAGAAACAGGGCCCCACCAGAAACCTAGCAGGACCCTGAGGGGCTCCTGTGTACGAAAGCCTTTCTGTTCCAGCTCTACTGAACTAAAACCCCCAACAAATAGGAGATGCTAACTACTTGATGAGGCATTCTTCAGAGAAGATCAGGACACCACCAGAGGCCAGATTAAAGGAATGCAAGCCCTGCTCACAACCAGATCCTTATCAACAACCGCGTTCTTCAACTGTTGCTGTAAAACTCCTCACCAAATTCCCCCGGGGTTGGGACAGGTTTTCGGGGCACGAGCCCACTGTGTCCCCCCTCGCCTAGCAAAGCAATAAAACTATTATTTTGTGCTTCACCGAAAACTGTCTCTGAGATTCGATTCGGCACCTGTGCACAGAGGCCAAGCTTTTGGCATCACACCCACGGCCGCCTCACCATCCTGGACACCGGGTCCTGGGCTGGGAGGACGAGAGCAGGCGCCCCACACTGGGAGCTTTAGTGTCTGCTGGGGTGAGGGCTGCGAGCACGAGAGCAGGCGCCCCGCACTGGGGGCTTTAGTGTCTGCTGGGCTGAGCGCGGTGAGGGTCCGGAGGACAGGCATCTACCTGAGGCGGGTCCCTCAGCACCACCGCTGCCATTGGGATCTGTGGGCAGAGCGGGACGCGGATCGGCAGTCCCTCTACCAGGCCTGGCGCGGGGCATCGGGGCGGCGTCGCCGAGCCTCAGACCCGCTTTTGTCCTGGGGGAACAAGGCCTCTTCTCGGACCTTGTTGGCCGTCACGTCGGTCCAGACCCAGCAGTCAGGAGCCAGCACAGTCCCAGAGCAGTTAAAATGGCCGCCACGAGAAGGAAACCAGAAGTCGCTCCCTTATGAATTCCACCTGATACGGAAACGCCCCTTTTATGAGACTTTGATTGGCTGAGTGGCGCTGCCGCCCGTCGTGGAGCATTCTGGGTAATGTAGTTCCCGCAGAACCACAGGCCGCGTGTGAGGATACTCCCCGCCGACCTCTAGTAAAGAAGGCAGGAAAAAAAAAAAAAAAGGCAGAGCTCCGCTGCCAGGGGCGCTGGGAAATGGTGCGTCTGTGTTCTCGGGCAGAGGAGGGACTTCGCTCCTTCTTTTTTTTTTTTTTTTTTTTTTCGCTCCTTCTTGAAAAGGCCATATTTAGATTCCTGGGGAGCCCTTTCTGCAACTGATGGCGCAGGTGTTTGGAGACGTATTTGGACTCCTGGGAAGCTCAGCGTGCTCTGAGAGGCTAAACAAATTCTTTCAGACGCCCCTAAAGGCTACAGATATAAATGAACCTGTCATTCCATAGAGTCACAAAACTTGTGTCCCCGGGTATAGGAAACTCATAAAAATTATCGTAAGCAATGCAAGCGTCAAAATTATAAAAATTCAACCATGTTTAGGAATTCAAGAAATTATGATTTCTTGAATTATATTCAAGAAATTATACGGCAATGATCATAGACAAAAATAAATTAACTATGTACGTTAGAAGTAATTGCTCTGAAACCAATTGAGATATAAATCTACAGTAAAAAACAAACAGAGGGACTTCCCAGGTGCCACAGTGGTTAAGAATTCACCTGCCAATGCAGGGGAGATGGGTTCGAGCCCTGGTCTGCGAAGATCCCACAGGCCACGGAGCAACTAAGCCCGTGTGCCACAACTACTGAGCCTGTGCTCTAGAGCCCGTGAGCCACAACTACTGAGCCTGCGTGCCACAACTACTGAAGCCCACGCACCTAGAACCCATGCTCCGCAACAAGAGAAGCCACCGCAATGAGAAGCCTGCGCACCTCAACCAAGAGTAGCACCCCCCCCCGGGGTTCCCTGGTGGCGCAGTGGTTGAGAGTCCGCCTGCCGATGCGGGGGATACGGGTTCGTGCCCCGGTCCGGGAGGATCCCACATGCCGCGGAGCGGCTGGGCCCGTGGGCCATGGCTGTTGGGCCTGCGCGTCCGGAGCCTGTGCTCAGCTGCGGGAGAGGCCACGGCACTGAGAGGCCCACATACTGCAAAAAAAAAAAAAAAAAAAGTGTAGCCCGCACTCGCCGCAACTAGAGAAAGCTTGTGCAGCAACGAAGACCCAACGCATCCAAAAATAAATTAATTTAAATAAATAAATAAATATGGTCTGGGGACTTCCCTGGCAGTCCAGTGGTTAAGACTCCATGCCTCCAATGCAGGGAGTGTGGGTTCGATCCCTGGTTAGGGAACTAAGATTCCACATGCCGAGTGGCGTGGCCAAATAAATAAATAAATAAGGTCTGCAGCACTGAAGTACACAAATGGTAAAATATGAATTTAGACCTCCTCTTCAAACTATACCCAAATATTAGTTGCCAGCAAGGGCACTGCTGGATTCCAAACCTTGTGGCAGCTGCAGGGAGATTGCAGTCCTACAGTGCCGGGCAACAAAAAGACTAAGGCAGAGGAATGCAGTAGAATGTTTAATGCCCTGAGAAAAATCGGAGCAAGGGTGGGGAGTGAGACTATTAGGGAAATCAAGACATTTAAATGCAGCATAGGGACTTCCCTGGTGGCACAGGGGTTGGGAGTCCACCTGCCAATGCAGGGGACACGGGTCCGGGAGGATCCCACATGCCTCAGAGCAGCTGGGCCCAAGTGTCACAGCTACTAAGCCTGTGCTCTGGAGCCCGTGAACCACAAATGCTGGGCCCATGTGCCTGGAACCCATGCTCCGCAGCAGGGAGAGGCCACCGCAGTGAAAGGCCCAGGCTAGCCTCAACTGGAGAGGGCCCGCACGCAGCAGCGAAGACCCAATGCAGCCAAAAATTAATTAATTAAAAAAAAATACTAAAAGGCTTTTAATCCTACTTTAAAAAAATAAAAATAAACGCACCATACTGTATATAGTAGAACTGGTGAAACACACACACACACACACACACACACACACACACACACACACACCAGGGAAGATGCAAGTCTGGAAAAAAACTGAGGAAGCCTGAAGCCTTCACACTGGGTTGATTAGTAAATGTCTTTCCCTGCATGGAGCCAGTCCCTGAAGACTTGGACAGATGGCTTAATGTAACAATTAAGAGAGCGACAATCCCATCACTTTCGCATAATCACAAGAGTGACATCCGTCATATTCAAAGACCCACACTCAAGAGAAGGGAGCTACACAGCTGTGTACACCAGAGGGCAGGAGTCTTGGGGCCATCTTAGAACTCTGCCTGCCTCAGTGATTCTTGCTAAGACACATGTGCCTGAGAAGACTCATGCTCTTCTCATGTGCTTGATACTTGATAAAAAGCAGTCCAGGGATTTCCCTGGCGGTCCAGTGGTTAGGATTCAGCGCTTTTGCTGCGGTAGCCCAGGTTCAATCCATGGTCGACAAACTAAGATCCTGCAAGGTGCGGCCAAAAAAAAAAAAGAAAGAGAGAAAAAGAGTGTATATATATATGTATAACTGAGTCACTTTGCTGTACAGCAGGAATTAAAACAATGTTGTAAATCAAGTATAACACTTGTCTCTTGAGTATTGGTCTTTTGAGTGGTGAGCAGCTGAACTTGGGTTCGGTACCAGCCTCCTCAAGTTACACTAATCTTTTTTTCAACATTTTCATTGCCCCCAAGAGAATCCTCCTACCCACCAACCATCTTTCCCTTTTCTCCCCTCCTCCGGCACCTAGAACCACTTATCTACTTTGACCCTCTATGGATTTGCCTATTGTAGGTATTTTGTATAAATGGAATCATACGATGTGTGGACCTTTTGTGTCTAACCGCTTTTACTTAGCATAATGTTTTCAAGGATCATCTATGTTGTACCATGTGCCAGTACTTCTATCTTTCTCCTTGCTTAATAACATCCCACTCTATGGAGAGACCACATCTTGTTAATTTGTTTATCGGTTGATGGACATATGCGGTGTTTCCACCTTTTTGCTCTTATGAATAATGCTGCTATGAACGTTTGTGTGAGGGTTTCTCTTGTGTGCAGGTACATGTATTTTCAATTCTTTTGGATATATACCCAGGAGTGGAATTGCTGGGTCAGGTAGTGACTCTATGTTTACCTTTTCGAGGAACCATCAGACTGTTTTCCACACCAATAGCACCGCTCAGATTAAATCCTGCCCCTTTTGTGTTTCCACAGCTCTCTCGGTGACTCCCAGTTTACAGCACTCAGTACATCTGGCAATGCTTTATAGCTCTTTGCCTGCAGACCTATTTCCTGCACCAGGTCCCAGATCCCTAAAAACAAAGGTTACTGTCTGCTGTCATATTCATTTTGACATTCTCAGTCTTGTTATATGTAAAATGGAAGCAAGCTACTGGAATTAACAGATAATGTCACTGGGGAAGCTTTGTTTCATGAAAGTGGTTTCCTCACCTGGTCTGAGAGACTTACCCGAAGAAACTACTGGTTAGGAGTGAGAAAAGAAAATCCTGACAATTTCTCTTTCACACTTACGAAGTTGGATTTTTTCCTTTTCCAATTACGTTGTATTTATTCATAAACTCTAAGAACTAGGAAGCAAGATTGCTATATCATATGAATTTATTTCCTGTTTTTACGTCTGGTGTTCTTCCTTTAGAGTGCTCTTGCACAAGGTTCTCCAGGAGCAAGTCATGTTCACATTCTGTCATCTGTCACTGTTTCCTCCACACTGGCTAGCATGTCCTGCCTCTCTTTCATTTCTTTTCACAGACGCTCCGGATTTGCAGTATGTATAGCATCCTTTATTTCCACTTCCTTTACCAACTTTTGCTCTGTGTTCAATCTCTTCTTTTCCATATGTTTTCTTCTTTTTGATCTAATGACTAAAAGTAGACATAACATTATTTAGATACTAATAAATCAGGGATTAGAGACAAAAGAAGTGAGGAAATATATGGAAAAATAAAGGAACAAACAATGGAATTTTCAGGCTTTCATGAATGTTATTTGTCTGATAAGGATGGTGAAAATTGCATTTCGAAATGATTTTCCCACTTTCTGTATTCAAGCTTTATAAATATCCAGTTTTAAACATGTATAATATTGTAAATAAACTATACTTCAATTTTTAAACATTTAGAAAAGTTATAATTCAATGCAATGAAAAGACATTAAAAAATATTTTCTAAGAGTACAAGTGCGGTCTGCCTCAGTAAGCATCAATTATCTCTTCTACTCTTGGCCTCTCAGCCTCTCTCTGACTATCTCTGGGGTGGTTAGAGAGGAGATCCATACAGTGCATGCTTAACAGTATTGAATCAGACACTGCAATCTACATCATTTTGCTCTAGAAATTTTTTTTAAGCAAGTACTGAAGAATCTCAGAACTTCTACAAAATTAGGTTTCTATGAGCATATATGTTGTTCTATCCTCACAAGGATTTGCAGGGGTAGTGGGCAATTCTCACTGGGGCGTCTCTGACCTGGGGGTAGTAACCTCTGTTTGGTGGGCCTGCATCCCATTTCCACATCAAACTGAGGCAGACAGCGCAGGAGGGCATCTGCCTGTCTGTGGTCAAAACTCGGCAACAACACGACATTGATAAGTATGTTTAAGGGAAATGTTGAGTCCCTGAAAAGTCTTGTTTCCTGAACTCTCTTTTCAGTCCTTGGAATTGCCTTGCAAAAAGAATCAAACAACCACACAGCTGTTTGCCTCTCTGTGTAATTTGATGCGAATGGCTCATTCCTGCATGTGTGGCTGTACATATTCATTAGCTTTGCCATGGAAAACCCAACCATCATTGTCAGCTCAGCTTCCCTTGGATTTTGGATCCGACAAGATAAGCTGGTTGACCCCCTACCTGAATGAATGAACTTTTCCAGTTCCTTCTCACTCTCTGGAAGGAGGTGCGTGGACTCATCCTGGCCCTCATCCTCAGAGCCCTCCTCTTCATCTCCTAATAATGGTATCTTGACATTTTTATAGAGTGACGCAAGTTGTTGTTTTTCCTCAGCCTGTACCAGTCGACTGGAGGACAAAATAGGTAAATTTAAAAGCACAATTTTCCCACTAAATCATCCTGTCTTAATCTTGTGACTTTCTGACGGCAAAGGGGTCACTAGTACATGGGGGAGGAAGCAGAAATAGACTTAAACCCAAATAATTATAGAACTATAATTAATTATAGAAATATAATTAGAATTATAGAATTCTATAGTTCTATAGAGTTATAGAACTCAGATTGGGGCTGAAACGCAGAAAAGGGGCGAGTGATTTGGAGCCAGGTGACAGGAATGGGGCACTCGGGCTGGGCACAAACCTCCATGATCAAGTTCAATAACATCTTAATGCAATATTTTACAAAAGAAAAGTTAATGCCAACAAATCCATGAGGAACACAATGTCAACGTTTTAAATAAAGGTAGCATAGGTACCGCTGATTTTTCCTTTCGCTTAGTCTCCAATATGCTTTGGCCCGACATCATCACTGATCATGTATTTAAAATGTTGATATTTTGTTCATCATGGATTTTTGAGGGCATTAATTTAGACTTAAAAATATTGCAATAAATTATTATTTTTCTTGACTACTGAGTTTCTTGACTACTGAACCCCCTTAAGTTTTGCACCTGAGGTGAGTGCCTCGCTCACCCCACCCTAGGCCCAAGCTTGGAAGTGGATCATTGAACAGATATTTCTGTGTGAAGTGAAAATGGGTAATAGAGTGTTCTACTTTTTCCTAACATACTTACCTTCCTAATTGTGTTTGACTCATGTAATAACAAACCATTTTAGGGTTAGCTTATTTGTGTTCTAAGGGGCTGTGATGGAGGAAGGGGTGTAGGGGGAACATTCCAGAATCATGCTCTGTAGCAGGAAGAAATGGCCTGATTGGAAACACTGTTACAGATAATCAGGAAGCTGGAACAGGACCAGATTTTGGGTGAGGAGAGTGAGGTGCTCGCTTTAGGTGCACAGTTTAAGGGGGTGCCAAAAAACTCAGTAATGGGGATAAATATTTTGACTTAATATTGTAAAAAATTGAAATGAGGGGATTCCCTGGCGGTCCAGTGGTTAGGACTCAGTGCTTCCACTGCCTAGGGCCCAGGTTCAATCCCTGGTCGGGGAATTAAGATCCTGCAAACCTTATGGTATGGCCAAAAAAAAAGAGAAAAAGAAATGAATAGGAAAAATCCATGATAAACAAAATATCAAAATTTTAAAGACAGGATCCATTAGTGCTGTGATGAACGATATGGGAGACTGAGTCAAAAGGGAAAATGTGAGTCCCTATATACATGTTTTTATGTATTATTTTACGGTTCTTCTTTTCCAAAACATTAAAGTAGTTGAAATATATTTTAAAAATTTTAAAGTGCTGTATCATAACTCACAGCATTATTTTAAGTTTAAATACTTTATCTTTGGACTTCCCTGGTGGCGCAGTGGTTGAGAGTCCGCCTGCCGATGCAGGGGACACGGGTTCGTGCCCCGTTCCGGGAAGATCCCACATGCCGCGGAGCGGCTGGGCCCCTGAGCCATGGCCACTGAGCCTGCGCGTCCGGAGCCTGTGCTCTGCAATGGGAGAGGCCACAACAGTGAGAGGCCTGCGTACTGCTAAAAAAAAAAAAAAAAAAAAAGAAATACTTTATCTTTACCAGAAACAAAATTTATTATAACTTTACTTTCCTGCTTTAAGTGAAATCAAACTCACCAATATATTTTCAAAAATCTACTTCTGGAAAAAATTAACCACTAAGACTTATGTAAAAACATGTACTTTGGGGCACATATTTTTCCTTTTGCCTCAGGTTCTAAAATGCCACTGGGGGTAACACAAATGTAAAAGCTGTAAATGTTGACATTAGCTCAGTAATTTAATTGGACACTGAAATTCCAGGAGGATACGTTGTAGTGAGTTACTTTAGCAATCTTCATATGTTAACATCTTTGTCTAGACTAATGAAATAAACTGAAATTCTAGTTACATAAATTGAGTCATAGATAACCCAGAACCAAACATACTGGGGACACTCTCTCCTTAGCAAAATTTCTTCAATTTTACCTTTAATCTTGCCTTCATTTGACATACTCCAAGTGGTCCTAAAATGGCTACCTTAAAAAATATCCCATACATGGCAATACATTTCCCATGTACACACTTAATTCTGATAGAGTAAATAACTTAGTACTTCCTCAAGCTGTTTCTGATGGGATGTAATGGAGTCCTGGAACTAAATCCTAGGATAGGAATCAACGTGTTGTTCCTGATCAGAGTAGCATGATGTCACGGTGCGGCTCGCTTTCGTCTGACACTTCAAAATGATTTGTTTCAAAATGATCACATAACCTGAGCTTGACCACAAGCTTTATTTGTGCGAACAAGATGAAGTGTCTTCCCTAAATGCTACTATTACCCCTACTATTGCATTGATAATAAGTTTCTAATGGAAGAGAGAGTGGTCACTCTTTTCTGCTTTGCACTATTAAGAGTCCCTCCAAAGTATCAAGTTCACTCTAGAAAGCCACATTTTGGGAGGATGACAGCATCTCTGACTGTGGCTTTCAAACATTTTTGATCATGATCCACAGTAAGAGATAAGATTTACCTCACAATCTTGAGTCTGAAAAGGTTGAAAATCAGCATTTACTTTTTGTTGTTGTTGTTGACTACTTTGGCTCTTCGTTGCTGCGTGGGCTTTCTCTAGTTGGGGTGAGGGGGGGCTACTCTTCGTTGCGGTGCGCGGGCTTTCTCATTGTGGTGGCTTCTCTTGTTGCAGAGCACGGGCTCTAGGTGCACAGGCTTCAGTAGTTGTGGTGCATGGGCTCAGTAGTTGTGGCTCACTGGCTCTAGAGCACAGGCTCAGTAGTTGTGGTGCACGGGTTTAGTTGCTCTGTGGCATGTGGGATCTTCCCGGATCGGGGCTGGAACCCGTGTCCCCTGCATTGGCAGGCGGATTCTTAACCAGTGAGCCACCAGGGAAGCCCAACATTTACTTTAATACTTTCTATTCTACTAAATTGTATTCTGTCCTGTTTCTTTGCTTGCTTTTTTAAAAATTAATTTCTATTTTTACTTAAAAAATTATTTTTATCCAGTTTCTTTTAAATTTTTTCATTTATATCATGACCCAACATGAATATAGCCCATATTCTGAAAAACAGTGTCTGAAAATGTATAATGACCATAATAATTTAAGGATTATAAGAATTATCACCATCATCATCATTACTATCACAAAATAATAACCTAGTTAACTTGTTATGTCTTACTTAAGGATGGTGAAAGTTATTTACCATAGACTTACTATATCATGTAGGAAATAGTGATCCCACATATCAGGGCAATACTGAAGGCTATACACACAATTGTAATTACTTGAACAATAGCAGGTCTATGAGGAATCAGTGCTAAAAATGGAAAAAAAGTTCTCATAAAATCTCATTTTAGGTGTGACTATCAGTTAATATAATTGTTAATCATATTGTTTTGGCAGAATGGGAGACAAAATCAGAAATAACCTTAAAAATAGTATTCTTAACTAAAAAAAAAAAAAACCACAGAGGTTAGATTGTACAGCCTGTGTGAACAAATATAATTTGAATTCCCACCCAATCTCTGATTCCTTTTTCCATCTGCTTCCTGTCTTTGGTCAAAGCCCTCTCTTATGAGACTGGATCCCTGACTCAGTACAGCAGAACAGACCACTGATGTAGCTGAAAGGAGAGTGGCCTTAGTTTTGCAACTCAAGTGTTGCCCAGATGGTCTTAGGTTGTGTAGTGCTGTTACAAAAGGAATATTGTAGGACAATTCAGAATCTAATTCCGCAAACCTGTATTGGGGTTGGTATTTAGGCCCACTGAATGTGCTACAAAACCTTGGATGCTTTTTGTAGATTCAGGTGTACCACTTCTCCCATTATCTGAAATAAAAATAAATAAACAGAGCTATTGTTGGTACAAACTGAACAAAAGAGCAATTGACTAAGTACATTACTCAACCACTTGTAGGGACTTCCCTGGTGGTCCAGTAGGTAAGACTCCACGCTCGCAATGCAGGGGGCCCAGGTTCAATCCCTGGTCAGGGAAATAGATCCCGAATGCTGCAGCTAAAGAGTTTGCATGCCACAACGAAGATCCCACGTGCCGCAACTAAGACACAGCACAGATAAAATAAATAAATATTTTTAAAAAAACAAAAAAAAACCCACTTGTAAAAATCTGACAAATTGAAGTGCCTACTCCTTGTTGCAAACGTGGCCTTCCCTCACTTTCTGTCCCTTCACTGGTTCAACGACTGAGCTGAGAAATACTTTAAGATTCATACCTCAATGTGAAGTCAGCCTGACATGACAAAAAGAACCTGGACTGTAAAAACACTTGCAGATTAAACGCTTAACTGTAGACCTTAGGTGTGGCTTACATAGATGTTCATTCTATGATTCTCTCAACTTTTCTGTGTTTTCAGATTTTCTTAATGAATATTAGGGGTGGGGGGGTATGGGTTACAGTCGGTTTCAATACAATGACTCCTGAAAATTGGTTGCTGGAATTGGCAATGGGAAGGTCATTGGAGACCTAGTCAAAGGAGATGTTATCGACGTGCATGAGTGAAACAGGTTTGAGAGAGAACAGGGGGAAAGGAATTAGAGAGAGCAAGTTTTGGAAACTTCCTGAAGAGTTTTGCTGTCATGGAGGGAAGAGAAATGGGGGCAGCTCCCAGAGGGGGCTGAGGGATCAAGAGACGAGTTTTGTTTTTTAATATGGGAAAACCGACATCATGTTCATATAAGAACGGGGATGATACTTTTAAATACTGTGATGTTCCTGGAAAGGGAGAGAGAATTGCATGGGGTGTCCCCAGTTGGCCTGAGGGGATGTTAGCTGGTGCACAGGTGAGGGGTCAGCCTTGGCCTAGACAGGAGGAAAAATGAGAAGGTACAACTGTGCTGGATCAGGGGATGCAGACACTCTGTCAAGTGCTTGTGTTTTGTCAGTGATGGAGGAAACAAGGTCATCCCCTAAGAGCAAGCCTGGGGTAGATATGTTGGGAGTATTTGTGGGATGAGAAAAATAGACGTGAAAGTCACCAAGAAAAAGGGGAGGGTAAATGAACTAAGGAAATGGAGTAGCTTTCTTTCTTTCTTTCTTTCTTTTTTTTTTGCCACGCCACGTGGCTTGTGGGATCTTAATTCCGTGAGCAGGGATTGAACCCAGGCCCTGGCAGTGAATAAGTCCTAACCACTGGACTGCCAGGGAATTCCCTGGAATAGCATATTTTAAATAAAATTCCCAGAAATGGAATTGTGGGGTATATTGACTCTATTTTCTTATTTTCTATATCCTTGATGGTCTACAATTTGGGGCCTTCATCCTGGGAAGGCTCCACCTCTCAGGGCTGGCTACTTCCCAGAGACAGCAAGCGACTCCCCTGTGGTGTCTTTGATATTCAAACCAACCATCAAACCCTCACACACCAGGCCAATACTCCCTCTGCCCCGAATCACCCCAGGGCCAGGTACTGGACACCTGAGAACCACTCCTATAGCCCAGAGCCCACCAAAATTATTCAAACTATGCAACACTAAGCTTACTCCATGTACCTACCCCACCTCACCCATTCCTACCCTAAAAACCCCCAATAGAAGCTCTGGGTCATTCTCTCCCCTCTCCTCCTCCTGCCTCCTAACCCACTCTGGTCCTTTCCCACGTGGCCTGACATGCTGTGCCATGCCTTCTGTTTCTAGGATTCCGTGTGTATAAACGTCTTCCTTCATGACGATCATTTCCGTGTCTGCATGTCTTACCATACCTGATTAAAACAAATCCCAGGCATATTTCAACACTCTGGGTCAAAAAGTGAATGCATTCTTTTTATAAGAATTGCCAATTGCGCTCTGTAGAAGTTGTACTCATTCCTAGCCTACAAACAAGATATGAGATTATCTTTCCCTACTCCTTTGCCAGGAGAGTTTGTTGTGAAATATTTTGCCTATTTTCAACATGATAGCTGAAAACTGGAACTCTAGTGTATTTTCAATGTGTATTTTCCCTATTATGAGGTAGACATCTTTCCATATAACCAAGAGTTGAAGGTTACAGGAGAAAATGGGAGTCTTCCAGTGACCTGACTAGACAATTCTGTCTCTCTCTCTGTATCAGAAGCTACACTTGGGACCCAAAGCTTAGGCGTGGCAGAGGTCTCAGTGAACCTCTATTGCCATCTCACAAGACAAGTTAGTGTCAAAGTAAGGACTAGAATGTGGGCCTTCTGACACCTTGGCCTGAACTCCTTTTCTGGGCTTTGGTGCTGGGTGGGGGGTGTTGAACTGGGAAGTGAAATATTATAGCTGGGCTTTAGGAAAGGTAATAGCGTCTTTGGGATGGATTAATTGTGGGGGGTTTTTTTGTCCTGTATTTCCTGATGCTTTGACCTCTGTGCTATTTTCTAATCTGCCCCAAGCAACATCATTACTAACCCAACCATGGGGCGGGGGACGCCTTTTTCTAATTTGCACAAAGGGGCTGTACAGGTTAGTGACAAGCAGCGCGGGGTGCCCTCTGGAGCCACACAGCACAGCAGCTTTGTGAACGTCCATGGATCCCACCCACCCTCCCAGATGCCTTGACTTACCAGTACGCCCTGGGAATGGCGTGGGTGTAGTACGTGCTGGAGCTATACGGACGTTGAAGGGGATCAGAAAGAAGAGACAGGTTTAAGATGCACTTAGGAAAATTAAGATGTAACTTGGTATTAGATGAGGGGGCCTAAAACGTAGTTTCCAAATAGCTAAGATGGTAAATGTTCTCAATAAATGTATTCCAATGCCTAGTATTGATAGAAATGCGTGGCTTAATTTGCAAAAGCATGGTGCTCTGCTTGCATCCAGGGTTTCCTTTGATGAATCTGGACCATTAAGAACACATTGCATTTGGGTCCTGGTCTGCTTTTGCAGTCACGCAAGCTGGGAAACCTCCTCCCAAGCTGAGGACCTGGAGAAACTTAGCACAGAGCTGAAGAGGGCTGTGCGCTCATCAGGTCGGAGAGCCGGGGCCAGGGAGGGCCCAGTAGTCACAGCCCTTCTGTCACCCAGCTTACGGAGAGTGAAGAGTATAGGATATGATTTCCAAGCAATGCTTATCTAGTTTTATTATTTTATGGACCATGCTACTAACAAATATACAAGAAGAGACACATTGGGCTTCCCTGATGGTGCAGTGGTTAAGAACCCGCCTGCCAATGCAGGGAACACAGGTTCAAGCCCTGGTCCTGGAAGATCCCACATACCGTGGAGCAACTAAGCCCGTGCGCTATAGCTACTGAGCCCGCACTCTAGAGCCCGCAAACCACAACCACTGAGCCTGCACTCTAGAGCCCATGAGCCACAACTACTGAGCCCACGTGCTGCAACTACTGAAGCCCACGTGCCTAGAGCCCGTGCTCTGCAGCAAGAGAAGCCACTGCAATGAGAAGCCCACGCACTGCACCGAAGACCCATGTAGCCAAAACTAAATTAAAAAATTTTTTAATCTTAAAAAAAAAAAAAGAAGAGACACATTGATATAGCCCCTAAGAGGACCCCAGAATACATTCTCATTTCACTGAACGAATACTAACAATGACTCACCTCTGTGTTTTGAGAAAGCTCCTTGAACGTGAGAGAATTGAAATTCCTTAGCGTACAGTGTGGGCTTTTGGGTGACATTTGTGGGTCTTTGTGACTGCATATAACCTGGAAAAGAAAAGTTGTAGCTGTGAAATATAATTACTCCTTTTTACTTCCTCTAAAACAAGTTAAATCATGCTTGAAGCTACCCATTAAGCATGTTGTTTGTCCAGCTGGTTTGAACTCACCTGCATAAGGCAAGCACAAATGAAGTGGGAATTCCATTAAAAACAAAAATAAAATGGCAAAAGAACTTTGAACCTTGTCCATCGTTCCAAAACTGCTAGTTTGTTATCGTATGGGTGAAAGGAAGTATTTAGTTGTAGGCTAGCATCTGTCCTATATTTCTCTGAGGAACTAAGGAGCTCTTCTCACTACAGAATGTTTGCGTTCTGACTGGGAACCACCAGTGTGAAGTCAGCTCACGTTGCCACATGGAATTCTTTCACGGAACCAGGTCAGCCAGTGGTGAGCCTAACAGAATGAGTGAGTGCGCTGGGAGGGATGCTAAGCTCTTGGGTACAGATGTGAATAAGAACAGGTCCCTGCCCTCAGAGAACGTCCAGATTAGTGAGGAGGCAGATAGAAATCAATTATAATCCCATGTGAGGTCTTCCCTGGCAGTCCAGTGGCTAAGACTCCGTGCTTCCAGTGCAGGGGGCCCGGGTTCGATCCCTGGTGGTGGAGCTAGATCCCACATGCACGCCACAACTAAGACCCGACACAGCTAAATAAATAACTAAATATTTAAAAAATAATAATAATTCAATGTGACACATCATAAGAAGCCAACAGAGAAAACAGCAGGGCTCTGTGTTCAAATGCCTGAATTCTAACCCTCATCTCTGGCTTCCTAGATGTTTGAGCTTGATCAAGTTACTTACCCCTCTGAGCTTCAGTTTCCTCAGCAGAAGAATAGGACAGGAACTAGTACCTACTTCACAGGGTTACAGCGATGGCTCAATAAAGGAGTCCAGGCAAAGCTCAAAAAGAGTGTGGGCACTGAACGTTAGTTCTGGTTGTAAAATGGGAGAGTATAATATTTGCAATAAAGCAATTCAGTACTCCTCCAGCCTCTGGGGGTGCTGTTCAGAAACCTAGACCCAAGTGGTCATCTCCAGAAGTTTCTTTAAAGGAGATTAAATGAATCATCTGAAAATGTGGAAATGGGATAGAAAACTAGATGGCATGGAAGAAGGTTGTCCCCTGGACGTGCCCTTTGCCCATCTGGTAGTTCCCACAATACAGAAAACAGGTTTTCATTCCTCCTACCAATTAGAATAAGTGAACAGACCAGAGACCTTTTGAGGCTTGTAAAGTCCCCTGGGGTTAGGAGCTGGTTCCTCGTGTGCTGTGCCCCAAAGGGCAGCTGTCCTTCCTGAATGTCAGGAGATGACAAGGCAGGCCTCCAGATATACGCCCACTGTGGACCATGAAGTTTCTTGCTCTGCTCTTACAACAGCCCAATCTGCCTTCCTCCCATCCTGCCATGCCCGGGGATGAGCCAGGTAAGAACAAGTGCCCCACGCTCTCTCTCTAAATCCCGCAGTCTCAGTCGCCCCCAATCAAGCCTGTCTGGATGAGTTCATCTGCTGTGTCTCTTTGAACTTAGTTTGGGGCTCCCTCTCGGTACTGTGACCTTTAGACTGGATTTAGGTCTCTCAAGCTCCCCATGGACACCGCTGTCTTTGGGGCTGGTCTGGGATATCAACTTCCCAATGGTCACTACTGCCTTGCCCAATCCTCTCCGATAGGTCTGTGAACACCTGGCTCTTCCTAGACTTGGTTCTTACAGTCTGTGCACCCAGCCCAGCTGGATGAATCCTACAAGCATCAGAATACCACTGTGAGTTAATAATGCTGACAGATGTGTAGAGAATACAAGGTCAAGCTATGAGGATTAGGCCAAGAGATAAGATCTTTCATAATGTCACCAAAACCTTTCAACAGATTCCCTTAAATCCAGAGGTGCCTGACCTGTTCTCTCGGCTTTCTTCCAAAGTAGTGTGTCCGGTTGCAAAACTGTGTTCCCAACCTTCGTCATATGCCTTATAGGACTATTCCTCATTGTCACCTTTACCAAAATTTGCCGTCAGTGGCCATGTCCAGCCGTCCCAGTCAGTTTAGCATCTCCACAACCCAGGTGGCAAGTGTTATTCACCCCAAATAATATTGTTGATGATGTTGGAGCACTACAGTGTGGATTGTATTGTAGTTTTTTTTTATTGAAGTGTAACTTCAATTGTGTAACTGACATTAACATTATATTAGTTTCAGGTGTGCAACATAATGATTCGATATTTGTATGTATTGTGAAATGATCATAAGTCTAGTTAACATCTGTCACATATACATATTACAACATATATAATTACAAAATTCTTCTTGTGATTAGGACTTTTAAGATCTACTCTCTTGGGACTTCCCTGGTGGTCCAGTGGTTAAGAATGTCTTGTAATGCATGGGACGCCGGTTCGATCCCTGGTTGGGGAACTAAATCCCACATGCCGAGGGGCAACTAAGCCCTTGCATCACAACTAGAGAGCCCGCACACCACAATGAAGAGCCCACACACTGCAACTAAGACCCGACACAGCCAAAAATAAATAAGTAAATAAATATTTTTTTTTAAAAAAGATCTACTCTTAACAGACTGGTGGTTGCCAAGGGTGAGGGGGTTGGGGGAGGGATGGAATGGGAGGTTGGGGCTAGCAGATGTAAGCTTTTATACAGAGACTGGATAAACAACAAGGTCCTACTGTATAGCACAGGGAACTCTATTCAATATCCTGTGATAAATCATAATGGAAAAGAATATATAAAAAACGAATGTATATATATGTATAACTGAGTCACCTTGCTGTACAGCAGTAATTAATGCAACATTGTAGATTATCTATATTTCAATAAAAAATAAAGACAAATAAAAACACTGACTTTCTTAATAACTTTCAGATATGCAATACAGCATTAGTAACTACAGTTGTGACGCTGTACATTACATCCCCATGACTTATTTTACAAATGGATGTTTGTACCTTTTTACCCCTTTCACCTATTTCATTGTATTGTAAAATTTTAAATTTTGTATTTTCCTGCTGCCTCAACATACCTGCAAACAGGCTGTGAGCACCCCTCCCAGGTGACCAGGCTTAACAAGTGATAAGCTGGTCCCTGCTACGAGGGGCTTCCTCTTTGCTCTCCCCTGAACATGACCTAGTAACATTCAAAAGCACCAATGACATACCTCATGCCTATCCCTGTGTATTCTACCCACACCCCTAATAAAAGCACTTGCCTGTGGGCTAGTCTTCACTCTCTGCTCCCCACCTGCTTGGTTGAGCCCGCTCCCTGGCTTGCAGCATGTGTGGACCTTCGTGGCCTGCCGTAACTCCATCTTTCTAGGACCTGTGAGTATAATAAATTTTGTTTCTTCCTGCTACTCTCCTGTGTCTCCTCTTATGGCTGCACCTGACTGACCATCACCTAAAAGAACATAAAACAGTGTTCATAACGTTATTTATAATAACCAAAAAGTTATTATAAACCCAAATGTCCATCAACTGATGAATGGATAAACAAAAAGTGTATATCCACATGATGGAATATTATTCATCCAAGAAAAGGGGGAAAGTACTGATTTATGCTACAACACTGATTAACTATGAAAACATTATGCTAAGTGAAAGGATCCAGAAACAAAAGGCCACATTATATCATTCCATCTATATGAAAGGTCCAAAATAGGAAAATCCATACAGACAGAATGTAGATTACTGGTTGCCAAGGGCTGGGGGGAGGAATGAATAGGGAGTAGAGTAATTGCTAATGGGGTTTCCTTTTGGAGTGATGAAGTGTTCTGGACTTAGATAATTGTGATGAATGAACAATATTGTGAATATACTAAAAACCAGTTTAAAAAGGTTAATGTTACGGTATGTGAATACCTCAAGAAAGCTATTGCTTTTTCAAAAGACTTTCTTTTTTAGAGTAGCTTTATGTTCACAAGAGTTCCCACGTACCCCCTGCCCCCTCACACACACACACACACACACACACACACACACACACACACACAGCCTTCTCCATGACTGACATCCCACACCAGAGAGGTACATTTGTTACAGCTGATGAACCTACATTGTCACATCATAATCAAAGTCCCTAGTTTATGTTGAGGTTGACTCCCGGCATTACACATTCTACGGGTTCTGACAAAGGTATCATGACATGTATCCAATCTTATAAAATGTCATACAGCACAGTTGCCCTGCTGTAAAAATCCACTATGCTCCACCTATTCATCCCTCTCTCCTCCAACCCTCTGGCAACCACTGATATTTTCACTATCCCCATAGTTTTCCCTTTTCCAGAATGTCATATGTTGGACTCATACAGTATGTAGCCTTTTCAAATTGGCTCCTTTCACTTATTAATACTTACTTAATATATTCTTTAGTAGTATGTTTCTCCATGTCTTTTCATGGCTTGGCAACTCATTTCTTTTCAAAGCTTCAAAGCTCTTTTTAAAATAAGGTGTAGTTGATTCACAATATTAGTTTCAGGTGTACAACACAGTGATTCAAAATTTTTATGGATTATACTCCATTTAAAGTTATAAAATATTGGCATATCCCTTGTGATGTACAACACATACTTGTAACTCATTTATTTTATACATGGTAGTTTGTACCTCTTAATCACCTACCCCTGTCTTGTCCCTCCCTGTCAAAGCTATTATTTTTAAAAAATGAGAAAAGCCTTTGAGTTTGGGTGATCTTTGGGGGTTTTTTTTGTTTTGTTTGTTTTTTTGCGGTACGCGGGCCTCTCACCGCTGTGGCCTCTCCCGTTGTAGAGCACAGGCTCCGGACGCGCAGGCTCAGTGGCCATGGCTCACGGGCCCAGCCGCTCCGCGGCATGTGGGATCCTCCCGGACCGGGGCACTAACCCGTGTGCCCCACATCAGCAGGCTTACTCTCAACCACTGCGCCACCAGGGAAGCCCGACTTTGGGTGATCTTAAGTGCAGCCCATGGACTACAACTCCCAGCAGCCTGAGTGCTCTTATTGGTCGGAGGCACGCCACGGTGCCTTCTGGGAGTTGTAGTCTGAGCCTCGCAGGTCCGAGGAGGCCAGGGCCCGGCCTACGGACCACAACTCCCAGAAGGCTGTGCAGTCCAGCCGCGTCTCCTAAGTAACTGAGGATGGGCTCCACCATAGTCTCTTCCTGCTACGGTTGTTCTCCAGTTGCCTTAAGCTTTTTGCTCAAGGTTAGGAGTTTTTAATTATTACCGGAAAGAAGGTAAATCCGATCCAAGCTTCTCCACCATGACCATGACCTTTTCTCTTGGGCTTCAGTACTTTTTAATAATGTGGTTTCTTTGTGTTTATCTTGCTCTGAAGTTCACTGAGCGGTTTGAATCTGTACGGTGAAGCGTTTCATCACTTCTCTGCGCACTGCAGCACCACGTTGGTCCAAGTTTCCATCTCTTGCCGGAAGGACCACAGTAGCCTCCGCGCTTGCCTTCCTTGGTAACGGTTGCCTCCATCAGGTCATTATCCACACAGCAGCCACTAGGACTTCTTTAAAAACAAAAGCATTTTCTGTCCTTCCTGGTTAAAGTTGCTCAGTGGTTCCCATACAGAAACCCAGCCTTCGTGCGTGTCTGGGCAGCTCACCAAGGCCTTGTGGGAGGTCATCCTTCCTGTTGTGGGTTCTGACCAGACCCAGAAGCAGGCCTGGAGCCAACTTCTGCCAAACAGAAAACAAAATCAAGCTTAGGTAAGGAGAGACTACATTCAGAAAGACGATTCCAGTAAGGAGAGGGGGACTGTTGCAGTAGGGAGAACACTCTTGACAGTAAGATCTGCAAGCATCTCCAAGGTTGCGCAGAAAGGAACTTTCTTTCATAGGGAGGAGTGAACAAGGCTAGAAAGAACCGGGTGTGGGGAGTGGAATATCGGACTGCAGCAGGAGATGTCTTGCTGTCAGCTGGTTCTAGAGAGGGGCCACTTTCCTGCATTCGAATACTTATTTAACCTTAGGAGTAAGTCAGAGTTCAAGGGTCTTTGGGGAGGGAAGAAGCTGAACTAAAGTTTGGTGAAGTCAACTCAACAGACTTTTGTTCTGATTGATCAGTCTAGCTAATCATTTATGAGAGTGAGTGGAAATTTGGAGAGTCTGGCTCTAGCCTTGTCCTATGTGAAAGAGGGGTCAAGAGTCCCATCTGTCCTTCACAGTAAGCCGTTTCCTGGAACACAAAAGGTTGGAGGGATTCAACTGTCTGTTTTCCAGGAGCCTGGAGGTAAGGTTCAACATTGTCACCCCTCACCTCCAGGTTTCACCCCTCCTTTATCCCAGAACCCTTTGAAGAGGATCTTGGGGTTGCCCCTCTAGGCCACATGAAGCCTGGGCTACCCACTTTTCCTATGGTGTCATCGTTGCATGGGGCCGGGTTAGAGTCCCTCACACCTTGCTTGGGTTCTGCCCAAGGTGGACCCATAATGACCCCAATCCAAGCTGGCTTCCTTCCATATCAGATCCCACTGGATGTCTGCTCCCAGCATGACAAGAATCTCCAGAGCACTGGGTCTAGCGGATCGGGGTTGGGGCCAGGAGGTCTATATTTTTAATAAGCCCCCAAGTGACTTTTAGGATCAGGAGTTTGGGGAGCAAGGCCAAACTTAGTGACTTTCTGCTGGAAAATCTGATCGGGTTCCCTGTGATTCGGGCCCCCAGTTCTCCAACTGGGGACCCTCCATCCTCAGGGCATAAATACTCGTCTAGACTCTTCAGCAGTTCCTCCCACCACGAGGACCCACCTTGAGCACAGTGTTGCCCATAAGTGCTGCTCACTCCATCTGCAGAGGGATTTTGTCTCTGTGACGACACAAGGGAGGGTGTTGCCTGTGCAGACAGAACAGCATCTGCAGGGAAGGCTGGGATGAGCCCTGACCCTCGTGACTCGAAGACTCTGTGTTGCTGGGGAGCAGCACCGCCCACATTCCTGGCCACTTCTCTCCTCTACCCACAAGGTGAGTCTGATTTGTGGTGTCTCTGATATCCACCCCCACCCCCCATTTTATGGTCAAGCCTTCTGACTAGTCCTTCTCCCACATACAGGGGTTCTTGACCATCTGTCTATGATTGCGAAGCCCTCCTCCCTGTGGGCACCACTCCACAGTCACCCCCAGTCTCCTCTCCATGGTCAGGAGACCCAGGATGATGAGAACTCATGGCCACCCCACCTGATGAGGTCGGGCTGCTGGGAAGCACAAGCAACAACCTGCTGGTGTGTTCCAAGCACTCACAGAACCACAGGTGCTGTACTGGACACTAGGGACACAGCACGACCAGGACCAACGAGGTGCCCTCCCCCATGGAGATCACAGCCTAGTGTGTGGTTTCGGGAGATGGTGTGGACAGTAAGGAAGGAAAAAAATAGACCAGGTGATGTTCTGTATTGACGTGTGCGATGAAGCAAGTAAAGACAGGGCAGTGAGGTGGAAAGTGAGGAGAATTCGTTGACTGGATGGTCCGGCATCACCCACAGCTGCAGTGACACAGCCTCTGGTTCAGGCTTCCTGAGGAGTGGAATCAAGGCAGGGCTTTGGAGTAGCTGAGAGACACGCAGAGACTACATCACATCAGGCACGTTTCTCCACCCTGCCTCCACAGAGCCCTGGGCTGGTGAATCACGTTTCAGTTATCTTGTGAGGTAAGAAGTCAGTGATTGCTTTCTGATGCCTTCACCTCTCCATCCTAGTATCCATCCTCCCACCCCTGAATTCAGTGGGGTTTACAGGGACCAGGATCTGATCCTGTCTCATGTATGCATAAAAACTGATGGAGTAGCTGCTTCCCTAAGAGAAATAAATGTGCTCACTGGCCAGGCAGTAAGCAAATTTCTGAGCATAACTATTTCAAAAAGAAAAACACCACACTGGATTACAGATTCCACCAGAAGCACGTATATTAGAACAGATGGACCAAAATTTTAACTTAGTCAATTAAGTACATTTAAAGAGATATGGCATGATACTAACAATAGGAAATGAGAATAAGAACACATAAAAGAGAACCAAGTAGAAATATTAGAAATGTAAAATAGTGGTTGAAATGAAGACACAATAGAGGAAATGAGCAGCAAAATGGACAGCTGAGAAACAAATTAGCAAGCTGAGGAAATGTCCAGACAAAAGGAAGAAAGGAGAAGGAACTAGAGGACATAAAAGAGCAGGTAACAGATATGAACAACAGACACAGATACGCTGACATCTAAATAGAGTCCTAAAAAGAGAAACTTTTTAAATGGCAAAAATGAAATATTAAAAAATAAGAGATAAATTTCCCAGAATGTAAAACAAAATAAAGACATCAGATTAAAAGGCCCATAGAAGTGTCTTATGAAGTTAAACATTTACTTACCATACAACTCAGCTGTTCCACTCCTAGGTCTTTACCCAAGGTAAATGAAAACCTGCATACACAAAAAAGCCCTGAAGAAGAATGCCCATAGTGGCTGTATTTACACTAGCCCAGAACTGGAAACAAGTCAATGTCCATCTACAGGTGAACAGGATGACTACTACCTGTGGCACATCCACATAATGGAAAGCTACTCAGCAAAGAAAGTAGACTACTGATAAATGCTACAACGTGGATGAGCCTCCAAAACATGCTGAGCAAAAGAATCTGGATACAAACATAGCATATGAATACTGTATGATTCTATCTTTATAAAACCCTAAAAGACAATTCTAATATGTACTGACAAAGCAGACATGTGGTTGCCCAGGTCTTGGGGTAGGGTGGAGATTAACTATGAAAAGACATGAGGGAACTTTTTGGAGAAGGGCAAATATTCTCTATTTTTGTTGTAGTGGTGGCTGCAAGGGTGTTGACATTTTTCAAAACTCATCAAACTGTGGCCTTAAAGGGAGAGTCATCAGCATACCAGTTGTGTTTACAGGGCTTCAAGACTGGATGAGATCAAGGCACTGTGAGCAGATGGGAAGTGGGCAGTCTGACAGTAAGAGGTAAAGGATGTGGAGAAGGAACAGCAAATGGGGCCTGAAATGAAGGCCAGAGAGGCGGGAGGCAAGTCCCAAAAGCCAGGTGAACATGTTTCAAGGAGGAAATGATCTATTATCTAAGAATCTAAGATGCTGCTGATAACGTCAAGGAAGAAAACAGAACTGACCACTGGATTTAGCAATGTGGAGGTCATCTGGCAGCAAGGCAGGTTTTGGAGTGGGTCCAAGAAAGAATGGAAAGGAGTCTTCCCTGGTGGTCCAGTGGTTAAGAATCCGCCTTCCGATGCAGGGGACGCAGGTTCAATCCCTGGCCGGGGAACTAAGATTCCACATGTTGCCAGGCAACTAAGCCTGTGTGCCACAACTAGAGAGAAGCCCATGTGCCACTACAAAAGATCCCATGTGCCCCAACTAAGACCCGACGCAACCAAAAATAATTTTTTTTTTTAAAAAGAAAGAAAGAATGGAAGGGAAGTGAAGACTGCAAGAACAGACAACTTTTGAGATATTTTGCTTTCTGAAACAAAGCAGAGAATGATTCAGGAGCCAGAGGGTTTTTTGTTTTGTTTTTTTTAAGTATGTTTACATGTCCATGGGGATAATCCAGTATATATAGAAAACCTGAGGATACAAGAGATAAGGGAAACTTGCTGGAGCGATGTCTTGCAGTAGCGGACATGGGACAGGCTCTGGTGCCAACCCAGTCAGTTCATATACAGGCACCAGTGGGAAGGCACGGAAATTATGGAAAGTGGGTAGAGAAGGTGGACAGATGTCATGCAAGGCCTCTGCTGGCTTCTATCACTCAGGGAAACAGGAAGCAAAGTCTTCTGCTGGGAACAAGCGTAAGGGAAGATTCAGTGAAGGGATTGTTGGAATCTTGGTACTAAACAGCCAACTAGCTTACGAAAAGACACTTGAAACCGATGGTGGGGAGGTTCCAGTCACTGGTAATGGAATGGTCCTAGGGATGACAATGGGAGTGACTGTCTGTTGCAGGGTGGGTGACAAAACCGTGAGCAGACAGGTCAAAGAACTGTGAGGTCAGGACGCAGGAAGACCATCTACCTGGACAATAAAATCAGGAAGTATTACGATGGGGGTGGTTTTAGATGCAATACAGCAAGAGCTGAAATCTTTACGGATGGGAAGAGTGAACCATTCATAAGGTGACTGCAACAGAGGGAAGCAGGAGTGATATGACAGTTTGGTGTCCCAAGAGTCAGAACTCAGTTTTAGAGAGAAGGGAGGGGAAACAATCTAGAAGCAACAAATGAAGAAGAGTGGGAGACAAAGCAGCCACTCCCTGCAAGGATCGTAAGAAAAGGTACTGTGCAGAGGGGAGACCCAAGTTTCAGTCACAGCAGAAGATGGCTGAATGGAGAGTTCCAACTGGGCCCAGCAGGTTTCAGAGTTGGGGAAGAGTGGAGCGTGGGGATCAAAAGGGCAATGAACTGAGCTGGATGTGGGTTACAATAGGGAGGTAAGAGGGGACCTGGGAGCCCTGGGCATACATAAGGTTGTGTAATAGGTGGTAGGGAGGTAGGGAATCCTTCTAGGAGGAAGCAGAAGTCTGGGACCCTTTTAGAAGGACACTTTAGAAGTCCAGGAGGCCCTTTTAGAAATATTTTTTAAAAGATACTAAGCTTGGTGGTACAGTTACAGAACTTGCCAGGATGCTTGTGGAATATTTGTGTATGACTTACAAAATCCTTTGTAGTCCCTAAATCAGAAAATCTGCGTTCAAAGTATATTACTTTGGGTATTAGAATACAATACCCATATATTGGCAGTATACCTCTTGATGCATTAGGTTGCTGTCTCTTACAGAGGTTAATAGTGCTGCCTCTATTCTCTCCAAGGATCTCTGCACAAATCATACAAGAAATCCAATTAATTTACCCCTGCAACCTTTACTGGGCAACCCCTATACATTAAGGTAGGGTCAGTGTTACATACCTATGGACGCGCCAGCTACGGGAGTCTGACAGTGAGCGCAGAGTCCCACCATACCAGCAGGCCACTTTTTCTCAACCACTGGAGAGTCATGGACCCCTCGAGAACTAGATGAAACTCCTGTACCCTGGATTTCTAACCAATGCCCTTGAGACCCATCCAGGAAGGACTGCTGGCCCCTAATTATAGCCCTACCTTAGGGAAATACAGGAAATATTTGTGAACCGAAGAAACGCCACCCAAGTCCTCCTATTCATCTTGCCCCCTTTCCACTCTGAGCACTCAGAGAAACTTCCTCATTTTATGACTGATTAGCTCCCTTTCCTTCTGAATCTTCCCTACTATCAAGTAATCTCTTCATCTGGAGAAGATAAAGAAAATATAAACATTGAATTCTACGGAGACCTTGAGAAATGGTGCTCTCATGTGCAGATGTGTCTCTTGCCCTCTGCCTCATGAAGGGCATTCTAAACCTATCAAGGGGCATTTCCTCTGACTTGCCCAAACATCCAGTGAGTCCTCCAGCCCCTGCTCTGCTGTAATCTTCAGGGTCATAGGTGGTGAAATTCTAGGGAACCCAGGGCGCAGAAAATGCACTGATTCTGAATGTCCAATCCAGACTTCATATTCCAAAGGGAGCTTTGCTCTCATGGTACCCGAAATCCCACAGGGCAGAAAGCCAGGTAACTTTACTTCTCATTGTTTAGGAATTTGATTTTTATTATCAAATATCTACTATAAGAACACTGGACAAAATTTTAAAAAAAAAACATTAGGGGAAAAAAAATCACTGCAGAGGCAGTGCAACACAGTGGTTAAAACAATCTCTGGAGCCAAACAATCTTTCTATTCCTAACTAGCTGTGTGTCCTTAGGTAGGTTTCTCATGATTTCTGCCTCAGTTTCTCCCTTTGTAAAACTGGGATAATAGTACCTATCTCATAGAATTAAGGAGACTGAACAAGTTAATATTTGGAAAGTATTTAAAACAAAGTTTAGCACGTGATAAGTGCTGTATGTGTTTGTAAAACTTAAAAAAAAACCTTAACTGGGTTAATTTATCCATGGGTCTTTCCAGTCGTTATGCATATACACTTTTTAGATGTTATAGTAGATATGTATATACAATTTTGTGTCCTTTTTATTCCTTTTTTTGTTATGTATATTGACTCAGTATCCATAATTATAACTTACAGTGACTGCCTAAAACAGATTACAAACTAATTGTCCAACAGTGCAGTAATGAGTAAACCATGGTCACTGACACACTGGGTTATTAAGTATCACCTTTTGTTCCAACAACATCAGTCTCATACTTATGGGCAATACCTTTCCATCATTAGTAATCTCATTTACTAATCTTTTCTAAGGTTAATCTCCATCAACAGTAGATATCCCATTCAACACTTTTTTTTCCTTAAATTCAGGTTTAGTATTCCATATTCTATTCCTTAAAGGGCACCCAGACCCTCCCCTTATAATAGCACAATCTGTGTTTCCATAATGATGACAAAATGTTATTGTAAAGCTTCCATCCAATGTTCCAGCTTGATGCAAAACAGCGGATTTCTAGTTGAAACACTTTTCCTAGGATAAAGTTTTTCCCTTAACAATGCACTCTGATCCACAAATAGTTCAGATCTCTTACTAAAAGATGTCTCATTCCCTACGTTCACGTTGCTCAAGTAGGATTCCTGGTGTCCTCTTCACTGTAATTATTTGATGTTAAACAAAGGTTACACAACTGTGGAAGGCTTTTGCCTATTCTTTTCATTCACAGGTTTCTTCTACGAAGATAATTTCTACTGATTAATAAGGGGAGAAGTCTTACTGAACAAGTATTAAAAATTTCCCCGCTTGATTATACTTATAGGTTTTTTTTCAATGTGTTATCAAATGTACAATAAAAGAAAAATCTCTCATCAATTCAATTCACAGAGTTTCTCTTCACTATGATTTCTCTGGTGTTGAAGTAGGGCTGAGTGACCACTAAAGGCTTTTCCACAGTCAGTGCATATAAAGCGTTTCTCTCCACTATGCATTCTCTGATGAATAATAAGAGAAGAATTCTTACAGAAAGCTTTCTCACAATGATTACATTTGTAGGGTTTTTCTCCAGTATGGTTTCTCAGATGTACAATAAGGGAAGAACTCTCATTAAATGCTTTCCCACATTCATTACATCTATACGGTTTCTCTCCAGTATGAGTTCTCCTGTGTGCAATAAGATGAGAGCTACAGTTAAAGGATCTTTCACATTGATTACATTTGTAGGGTTTCTCACCAGTGTGGATTCTCCGATGGGCAACAAGGTGGCAACTCTGGCTGAAGGATTTTCCACATTTATTGCACTCATAGGGCTTCTCTCCAGTATGAGTCCTTTGATGTCTAACAAGGTGAGCCATCTGGCTGCATGATTTTCCACATTTATTACATTCATAGGGCTTAATTCCAGAATGAATTATTTCATGTTTAGTGAGGGCTGAACGTTCTCTGAATGCTTTGCCACATTCCTGACAGTTATAGGGTTTCTCTCCTGTGTGAGTTCTCTGATGGGCAATAAGGTGGGAGCTCCAGCTGAAGGATTTTCCACATTCAGTACATTTATATGGTTTTGCTCCCGAGTGAGTTCTTTCATGTTTACTAAGGGCTGAGTAATCCCTAAAAGCTTTTTCACATTCATCACATTTAAAGGGCTTCTCTCCAGTATGCATTCTCATGTGGGCAATAAGATGGGAGCTCCAGCTGAAAGATTTCCCACATTCAGTACATTCAAAAGGTTTCTCTCCTGTATGAGTTCTCTGATGTCCAATAAGATGGGAGTTCCAGTTGAAAGACTTCCCACATTCATTACATACATAAGGTTTCTCTCCTGTATGAATTCTCTTGTGTACAATAAGATGAGAATTCCAGCTGAAGGCTTTTCCACATTTATTACATTCATAGGGTTTGATTCCAGTGTGAGTCCGTTCATGTTTAGTAAGGGCTGAACGATTCCTAAAAACTTTTCCACATTTATCACATTCATAGGGTTTCTCTCCAGTATGAGTTTTCTTATGTTGGATAAGGTAAGAGCTCCAGATAAAAGACGTCCCACATTCATTATATTCGTAGGGTTTCTCTGCAGTGTAAGTGCTTGTATGCTGTGTAAGGAATGAGTCATACCCAAAAACTTTCTCCCATTCATTGTATTTATATGCTTTCTCTACAGTACCAATTTTTTGATGTTCCATAAAGGATGAAAAGTAAAAGATATTCTCATATTCTTTGTAATCATACTGGTTTCCTCCAATATGAAGTCCTGGATGTTCACTAAATGATGGGCTCTGGTTAAAGATTTGATGGCATTCCTTATATTCATATAGTTTTTCTCCTGTATGCATTCCCATATGATCACCAAAATGCAGTATATGATTGAAAGATTTAACAGCATCAGTACATTTGAAAAGATTATCTCCAGTTTGCACCCTTGCAGGGTGAACAGGTTGCATGGAGTGGTAGAAGGCTTTGTCATACTCATTATTTTCACAGGTAATCTTATCTGCATACATTATGGCTGAATTACATCTCCAACTTTCAGCATTTGTATCAGGCTTATAGAAATGTTCTATTTGAGAAACTTTCTGAGATGGAACAATGCTTAGTCTCTGGCTACACCCTGCCCCAAGTTCACAGAACTCAGCGCCTCTTTGAGACAGTACTTGCTTTTGCATGAAGACCATTTGCCTCATAGCTGTACTCTGGTTCATGTGATACATTTCTAATTGGTCTTTACATCCCAAGACTTCTAACCTGGAGAACCAAGGATCATCCCATATGTATCTCTCCAACTTCATGCTATGGGACTGTTCCTCCTCAAGAATGCTCTGTGTTGGGATCAACGCTTTGCTTTCAAGATTTCTCACCCATTCTGAAATAAACAGAAAATATCCATGAGAGCATAGGGAAAGAACTTCTAAGAGTAGAGTGGAAAAGGTAAGATTTACTGTCCATATTATTGAAAAGGTAAGCATGAACTTGTTTCCAAATAGACTTGTAACCCAGAGGAAGATCGTAATAGGAAAGAGAAGAATAGTAAAAAGTGAACAAAAGTAGTTAACCAGAATACAAAGTGTGCACTGAATATGAATAAAACCCATTTAGGAGTATCTTCCCATGAAAAGGAGAACCAGTTATTACGTGTGTGCAGGAAAGAGTTAACTCTACACACTTGAGTTGGTCACACTTTGCACATTCCCAAGAAGGCCTGTTTCATGACTGGCCCTCGGCCAACTCCTAAGGACTGAGATCCTGGAATGTTCTAACTCATAAGAGTGTTCTGCATGCTTGAACCCTTGGAGTATACTGTACCAACTTCTCTAGATAGTTTGTACAAACAGTGTCATTTATGGTGAACACCTTCCTTCTGGGGTTCTGGAGCTTCCATGATTAGTCAGTCAGTCATGTGTGTCTAAATGACCAACGCCCAATAAACACCCTGGACTCACAGGCTTGGGCAAGCTTCCCTAGTAGATGACACTTCACACAACTCATTGCTGAAGGAATTAAGTGTGTTCTTTGCAACTCCACTGGGAAAGAACTACTGAAAGCTTGCATTTGGTTTCCTCCAGACCTCGCTCCATGCACCTTTACCCTCTGCTGATGTTGCTTTGTGTCCTTGCACTGTAATAAACCATTACCCTGAATATAATGCCTTTTGAGTCCAGGGAGTCCTTCTAGTGAATCACTGAACCTGGGGGTTGTCTGGAGGATCCAGATGCATTTAATACTATTAAGGTGAAAAAATAATAACTGGCTTAACAAAAGACAGATGAACAACCAGCCCCTCAGAAACTAATGTTTAAATTATTAAAGTGTGCTAATTCATTTCTATGTTATAATGTCCTTACTGTTCCCCTACTTTGACACCTGCCAAAAAAAGAAGGGGATGGGGTTAAGAGAAAATATCACCAACAAAGGCTTCAAGCTATCACATTATTTCCTATCTCACAGAGTTCAGTCAATAACACAAAATCATCCTCCTGAATGGCAAAAATCACATGGTTTCAGGATACTCCTAAAGTTCTTCTAACATGTGTAGAATAATGACAAAAGAGATAGGCTGGAAAGACAGCACACTGCAATGAAGCAGATACAGGAGTTATAGTCTGATAATCTGTATTTAAGTACTGGCTCTGCCCCTATCCTTACGTGACTTTTCTGAAGATTAAATGAGATTGTGAATCCAGCAAAATGTCTGGCAAATTCAATATGTGGAAGCTACCTATCATCACTGCTGAGGTATCAGTCCTCCAACAACAGGGGTCTGTATTAGTTTCCTATTGCTGCTGTAACAAATCACCACACATGTTGTGGCTTAAAATAACAAACTCACTGTCTCACAGTTTGAAAGTCAGAAGTTCTAAATGGCTTTCACTGGGCTAAAATCAAGATAGCTTTCCTTCAGAAGCTCTAGGGGAAAATCTACATCCTTGCCTTTTCCAGCTTTAAAAGCTGCCTGCATTCTTTGGCTTGTAGCTCCCCCCTCCATCTTCAAAGTTTATCATTCCAACCTTTGCTTCTGTCAGTCACATCTCTGTGTCTCTGACACTCCTGCCTCACTCTTAGAATGACCTCACAATAACATGGGCCCATCCAGACAATCCAAGATAATCTATCTCAAGATCCCTAGTTTAATTCACATCTGAAAAAGTCTCTTTTGCCATATAAGGCACCATATTCACAAGTTTCAGATGTGGACATTTTGCAGGGGTGGGTATCATTCATTATTCAGCATACCACAGGGTCTAATGCTGCAGGTACCCAACAGGGCCTAGACCCTTGTCCTCTTTCTCCAGGTTTTTCTTCTTCTTCACTATACACCATTTTCCCTCTTTTACTACCCAAGTCCATTACAACAGGAGAGATCCTACTCTGCTCAAGAAATGGCACTTACTATCAATTTTAAGCTTAGCTTCTAGTAGTTAGGGAATGATCTTCAAACAACTTTTGAATTTTTCCAGTAGAAACTTTAAAAAATGGAAGCTGACCAAGTCACTGATTAGATAAATAATGTCCGTCCAGCTTCATACTCAGTACTTATGGCTTGAGTGTCTCTTCCACCTGTAAATTATTATCTATGTGATGAGGTGACAATCTAAACAGTTATGAATACACACATTACATCACTGAGAGTTTGTGGGGTTGTAGATGCTAAGCGGATGGGAGGTCAGAAAAGGAGACCACGACAGAAGCAATCAAGGAAGGTTTCACACAAGAGAAATAACATGAGCTCAGTCTTCGAGCATGGCTCAAATACAGACAGACTGCTGGTATGGCATGAGCAAAGGCATGTGTGATGTGACTGAAATGTAAGGAGGGCCTTAAGGATGCCAGCTGAGTAAACTGCAGGAACTAGTCAGGAAATGAGCAAAATAATAGAAAAAATTGGAAGGTCTTGAAATCTGGTCAGAGTTATTTAAAAGGCAACTCAAGTCACTGTAGGTTTACTGGCAGAGACCTCATAATGGAAGATTTCAGGGATATAAATCTAGAAACAACATCTGAGGGGGCTAATAACAAATAATAATTCACTCACCAACTTGAGCTGGAATTTTATGAGGGTGCCTACCTGAGGGTGATGTTGGTGGAAGCTGAATGACACAGCTGACATTTCAGAGGAAGAAAATCTCAGAAGTCAGACAAGAGATTACTTCTTAGAGAGGAAAGAGCAGGCAGTCAGGATGACTTCCCCATTTCCAGCTTAGCAGACTCACAGAAGGTTGGTATCAGGGATATAGATCAGGAAGACGGGGAAACAATCTAGAAGGGAGAGCTGAGATTCCTGGTTCTATCAAGATCAAGGAGACAGCTGAGATGATTTCCAAGAAGGCAGAAGTGTAAGGATGGAGGTGGTGGAACCACAGGGCTCAGGACAGTTACTTAGAATGGTCAGCACTGACCATTAAAGCTTCTGGAATTCATGACTCCTTGGTGGAAGGTTTCAGATCCAGATAGGGGGCAGCTGGTTAAGACTCCACAAAAGTTCACTTCGTTAGATGGGAAGATGTCCAACTTCAGGACTCAAGAGGGGGCCATGGTATATCGTTAAATTAAAAACAACAAGATACAAAACGATGTGTATTGTATTCTACCTTTGGAAAGGTGAAAAGTAACTACATATGCCTATATTCTTATAATTGCATTAAAAAACTCAGGAAACAAACAATAGAAATTATTGCAAGCAATTAACCTCGGTAAGACGTCAGTGAAATTTCACCACTCCATAAAAGCAACCATAAAACTAGCAAAACCTGACAGAATAAGTTTCTTCTGAATTCTCTAAATTAACCAGACTTGCAGCAACCCAGGGAGAGTTTATTCAAGGAAAACTGAGTTTCAATAATAACGGTGAGTTTTGTGGCATTTTAACTTACCCTAATCCCATCTGACTCCTCAACTCAGCAGTAGCCTTGGAAAATAACAGCTCACATTTCTGGTGATAGAAGGAACAGAACAAAGCTAGAGCTTTTTCAAAGCCTCATTCCCAAAGAACAGTCATTATCTGACCTGTTTGGTGGTTCCCAGGAAGACCCCACTTGAAAGGCTTGTGGGAACTTGCACAGCGCTAAAAACTTCTAGGAAGTAGGTATTTGTCAAACATTTAATGGCAATGTTTTAAAGCGTTACTGTCTGAGGTGATGGAAAACAGACGGGGTACACAATACACAAACCAGAAAATGAAAGGAAAACCTGAGGAGTGAGATGTCCATAGATTTGAAAAGTCCTAACATATTCCTGGGAATCTAGAAGGCCCATGCATACACACTGTAATTAAACTTTCAAAAGCCAAAGCCAAAGAGAGAATCCTGAAAGCAACAAGAGAGAAGCAAGTCATCATATACACGGGATCCTCAACAAGATAAACAGCTTATTTCTCATCAGAAACCACGGAGGCCAGAGAGAAAAAGAAATATGTCAACCATGAATTCTATACCTGGCAAAACTATCATTCAAAAGTGGAGAAATCAAGACATTCTCTGATAAAAAAAAAGCTAAGAGTTTGCTGCTAGTAAACCTGCCCTACAAGAAATGCTAAAAGGAGTTCTTTAGGCTGAAATGAAAAGACACTAACTCGAAATACTGACTACCAGTAAAGGTAACTACATAGGTAAATACAAGAAGACTATACAAATGCATTTTTTGTTTGTTTCCTATCTGATTTAAAAGACAACTACATAAAGCAATAATTATAAATAAATTAAAAATCTGTTATGAATCTATGTTGAAACACAATTTACAGATGTAATTTGTGACAATAATAGCACAAAAGAGGGAGGACAGAGCTATACAGAAGCAAAGTTTTTGTATACTATCAAAATTAAACTGATAGTAACCCAAACTAAATTGTTATAAATTAAGATGTTAATTATAATTCCCAGGGCAACCACTAATAAAATAACCCCAAAATTTATAGTAAAAGGAAAGTGGTTACCTGTGTGTGCTTCTGTGTGTCTGTGTGTCTATCTGTGTGTCTCTCTGGAGAATAATAATAATGTGGATAAGAGGAGAGAGTATAAATGAGATTTTTTTCAGCTTACACATTTTATATAGCTTTGAGTTTTTTGAATCATGTAAATACATTATCTATATTAAAAAAACATTTTTTGTTGTTTTTTTGTAAGAAGAGTTAGTGACTACAGGCCACAAGTTTGGCAATAAAACATTAAAAAGCAGGTAAATGAATGAGAAGTCTTCTTAGACAAAGGGACAAAGCAAAGAACATGAGAGGTGAGGAGGGAAACTGTAGCATACAAGAACTGTTACCGTATTAAAAAGGTGGGCATCTTTGCTCTGAATCAACAGCAGAAAAAAGTCAATATAAGGGATAAAGCTCCTTGGAAGGAACTGTGACCGTCTCTGAGGAAGTGAACTCCTCACGGCCTCAGCCCACTTCTCAAACAAGGATGGCTTGGAAGAAGGTTCCTCGCTCCCACCTGGGGTCTGCTCTCACCTGGACAAGCGCCTTGAGGAGGATATGCCTGCTCCACTGACCACGGCTCTTCTCCTTGCTCCAACAGGGAGATGACCTCGGGCTTGGCGATCTTATTCCCTACATGTGGAGGAAAAACACAGACTTGTAGAGCCATGTAACCCTCCCTTGCCTATTTCTCATGAATGACTTCACTTCATGCTTTATGAGCAATAGGGATTTCGTCCTTGAACCTCAGGGCTCAAGATCATCTCAGCCCTTCTGAGGCCTCGTAAGCTTGTAAACAGAGAGTAGCACAGGGGATTGCAAGGGGGACAGCATCGTTTACTTGGGCAGTCCCCGCCTTACCCACAGAGAGCAGATGCCCATAGGTCTCCAGCATCACATCACGGTACAGGGTCCTCTGAACAGGGTCCAGCTGCCCCCATTCCTCTTGGGTGAAGTCCACAGCCACATCCTTGAAGGTCACTGGTTCCTAAAAGAGCACACATGTTCCTCCTTAGCCCGGAGCTACCCCCACTCCAGTGTTTTCTGGGGCTGGAGTGAGTCTGACAGCCCTGGGGAGGAGATAGTACATAGAGGAATTGTCCTGGATGCGTTCAGTATTCTCACTGACGTGGGTCAGGTCTCACTGGGAGCCACCAGGGCCCTGCATTTGGGATGTACTCTTAGGGAGTTAGATATCTGGGCCCACAATAACCACAATAGAGATGAGCAGGTCTCTCCTAAGATCTTGCCCAATTCTAGTTAACACTGGCTAGTATGGACAGGACTCCCATCTGGGCAATTCCTCCTGCTTCTCTGGAACTGCAGACACTTAATAAGACCGAGACCAGGACCAGGGTGGATGCAGACTCTGAGCCCTGGTCACAGACCAGAGAACCTGGGGCTCAAGTCTGCTCCACGTGTAGATCTAGGACCTGGAAGGGTGACCGCCTTCCTGGCCACAGCAGAGACACTTCCACTCCCAGATTGTCTCCGACCCAAGGACTGGAGGTAGGGGTGAGACAGGATTAAGCAGAGCAGCCCAAGCCAAACAGAATCACTTACAGTTGCTGTCAAAGCACTTTGATTTTGAAAAAGTTCAAACTGATGTTTTTAGGAAAAAGAGAACCAGGAATACCCACTAGAAAGCTAAAGGGAAGTCTGATTTTTGCAATGAATGCATCCCTTACAGTCCTTTGAAGCCATCAACGTGAGCCTCAGGTATCTGGGCACTTCCAGGGTGTGGCGGGGGACTGGGGAGCGAGCTGTGCTTCACGGGAGGTGAGCGAGCGACAAACCCCACAGCCCCTGCTCCTTCCTAGGGCCCCCTCTTGGGCTGTCTGTGCACTACGGTCCTCCCCTCCATGTCAGTGCAGAATCATCCCCAGGACAAACACCCACTGAATGGATACACGTGCAGTGCACTTCCACTCCAAGCATCCTTCCACTTCCTCACAGCCTGCTAATCACTTCTCTTCCACCCACATGTGGCCTTCCTTTCTGTCCTGAGAGTCATCCCCGACCAGGGTCAGCCCTCATGCTGGTCTTCAGTGTAGACTTTGCTCTGCTGGTCTGAACTGCTCCTCCTCCACCTTCACATGACTGGCTTGAAACACAGAACTGCTTCTGCTCCAGTGATTCTCTAACTCCAAAAAGCATTTACAACTGCTATTCACAACGTCCTTTAGTGAAACCCTCCTTAGCCTTGGACTCCTCCATTCCAATTTTTTGATTTTCCTCTTACAGACACGCCCAGGCCTCAGTTTCCTTACTGGCTGCTGCTCCTACATTTTTGGGGTAAACTTTTTTTACTTAAATCTAACATTCGGGTAGAGAAGTGCACAAAACCGAAGTGTGCACCATACCTAAACTCAATGCACTTTCAGAGTGATCACACTTGGGAGACCAGCTGGGAGGCCAGGCTTCCTGCCCAGGGTGCTCCTGGTGTGCCCGTCTCATGCTCCCTAATCTCAAGGGTGGCACCTACTTAGATGGCTTCAAAGTTCAACAGTTAACAAGGTCCAAGCCCACACCGTGGCAGCTGTCAAGCTGGTGGACTGAGCCACAAGTTCACCTCCCACCCTTCCCAAGACCCCAACAGATCCCCATACACATACTTAAAAAGGAACAAAAGCACCACATCTAATTGACACAGAAGGAATGAAATCACTAGAGAGATTCTGCAACCCCTACTAAAATAGTGGACATTGGCAGTGATCATTGATGACTGCTAAACCACAGGTGATAGGCAGAAAGGGAAATGTCCGATGGAGGGGTCAGGCTGACAATACCTGCAGCCACTAATCCATCACATCACCTGGAAATGGGCCAACCAGACCACCTGTGCCCACTGATGCAGGACAGTAAGAAGGACCCAGCACCACCTATCAAGTACTCTTGCCCAAAATACAAAGCCTGAATCTGCCCTATCCTCTAGCTCAACTACCAGTCTATGGGAGACAGCTGGATAGAGGAACTCATCCAAGGACATCACAAAGGCAAAATCAGGCAACCCAAGACAGGTGACCTGTTTCTTCAGTATATGAAGAACATGCAACATGTGGTCCTTGCTTGGATCCTGATTTGAATAACAACTGCAAAAGACATTTTGGGGACAAGTGGGGAAAAGTGAATACGGGCTTGGTATTAGGTAATAGTAAGGAATTACTGTTGTTAATTTTGTTGGGTGTGTAAAGGTATTGTGTTTATCTTCTAAAAGGTATGAATGTCTCAGATACATACACAGAAGTGTGAAATGATAGAGTATCTGTGCTTCGCTATAAAATACTCTAGTTTTTTTTTTTTAAAGGTTGTCCGAATAAATGAAAAGGCAGAAAGTTGGAAGGTGACATTTGCTAAGGCTGGTGAATGTGGGTGTCTGTCGTCAGCTGAATAATGGCACTGCCAAAGACGTCCATGTCCTAATGACTGTTACCTTAATATGACAAAAGATGTCATAGTTACAGAGATGTGATTACGTTAAGGATGTTGAGATGGGAAGACTATCTTGGATTATCCAGTGGGCTCAATGAAATCACAAGGGTCCTTACAAGTGAAAGAGGTAGGAGGGTATGCGTCAGAGAAAAGGAGACAATGCAAGCAGAGGTCGGAGTGATGCACACTGAAGATGGAGGAAGGGGCCATGAGCCAAGAAATGGCAGGTAGCCTCTAGAAGTGAGTGAAAGCAAGGAAGCAGCCTCTCCCCTGAGCCTCCAGAAGGAACACAACTCTGTAGACCCATTCTAGACTTCAGACTCCAGAACATGAGAATAAATTCATGTTGTTCTAAGCCATTAAGTTTGTGGTAATCTGTTATAGCGGCAACAGGAAACTCGTAGGGTTTTTTAATCTCCTAAAGTTTTTTTTAAGAAAGTAAACGACATAACGGGCCAGCAAAGAGGCCGTCGGCATGTGGTGTTCTACACATTCCCGCAAGATGGGGAGATGAGTGTGGCTGACCAAGGAAACAGAGCAAAGGAGACCCCAGGCCTGCACGTTAGAAGGGGCTGCAGGGGAAGCAGGACCCCAAAAAGAGGCTCTGGGCTCTGAGCTTAAATGCCACTGAAGCCAGGAGAATCAGGCTGCAAGGTCTATATTCAGGACCTCTATATTCAGGACAACTTTGCCAGTTGCCCCACATCCCTGCCAGCCAGTTTGCCTTGTGGGAAAAACTCCCTGGACCCTCCTCATACTCAAGAGTGTGGGAGGTTCTCAGGCTGCCTGGATGAGTGACTACCCTGGAGTTGAGACCCCTTCAGCCCAACACAGGGAGAGGGGAGGGGTCTGTGGCCTAACAGCCAGCTGTGCACCCAGGAAACCGGAAGCAGAACCGACCTGGTGATCCTGGCCCACCGAGGCACATGGAGATTAGAGTGAGACTTGTCAGGGGAGGGAGAGAGAGGGAGAGAGACAGATAGAGACAGAGACCTAGAGGCAGGTCAATCAGGAACCAGACCTGCTCAGGTGCACAAAGCAGATCTGTCAGACACAGCCTCACAGCTCTTCTCTGGTAAACAAAGACAGACCAGAGGGCCCCTGCACACATGAGGAACATCTGCACAGGTGGAAAGACCGAACTTAGCAGCTAAGAGGACAGAGAATCCAGGCAGCAGTCACATCCAACTTCCAATGACCTATACTTCTAATTCCCAGATTGGAAAGATTCGGTATAAAATAGGACAGGATAATACAAGAGGCTCAGAGAATATGAAGAAGAGATAAAAAAAAAACACAGCAGTCAGGGGGCCATCTAACAGACAACCTCAGAAAAATAATATAAAGGAAAACAGGAGGGAATTTTTTAAAAACACAGGACTTCTTTAAAAAAGACACAAAACACTAGCCATAAACAAAGACAGATATATTTGACAAAAATATACCAAAAAACATTTCACTAATAAAAGACACCATAGAGACAAGCTACAGATTTGGAGAAGATAACCGATATGTGGCAAAGACTCAGGATCCAGAAAGCATGAAATGCCTACATATTAATGTGAGAATCTACAGAAATCTAGGGATGGGAGACACACAGAGAAAGAAGGAAATACAGATGGCCAATAACTCATTTAAAGATATTCAACCTCACTCGCATTCAAGAACATGCAAATTAAAATAATGCAATAAACTTTTGTGGTCTTGAGGTAAACAAAAATTAAAAGACCCGATATTAATATTGTCAAGTGGCAGCAAAGATGCAGGGAAATAGGCACCTTCTCTGAGTAGGGAGACTGAGAGGGGGCTTTGCCCTTTCAGAGCCACGTGGCAGCACTGGTCACATGGAAAACACAAACACCCTAAAACTCAGCAAAGTGCTGCCTCCAAGGTACGCCCAGATAAACTTAAATGTGCGCACAAAGCAAAACTAAAAGAACTTCCACAGGGCTTTGTTTGGAATAGGAAAAATGGTGGAAGGAGGAAGGACTTATAAGCTTATTCTCAGAAGAGATGAGTAGAGTGCGCTTCTCTGATGTGGCAAAAGGAATGTACTTGACCTTCATCTACCACATGGATATACCTCAAAATTGACCTTGAAAGGTGTAGAAAAGCTACATGTAGAAAAAGCATTGTTAAAAAAACCAGATTATTACCTTATAATGTCTATATAGTTTATTACCTACATGAGTATGAAAATGGATTAACTATGTACGTATCTTAAGTGGTTGCTGTCAGGAAGGGTGCAAAAAGAATGTGATTGGGGACTAAAAAGAACGAAAAGCAAATATGGCAAAACATTAACGATGATTAACTTGGAGTTTGTTCAATCACCTGTCTGTTTAATCACTTTTTATGCTTTTCTGCAGTTATGGAATTTGTCAAAATAAAAATTTAAATAAAAAATATTTTCAGAGTTGAGAGATGTCATCAAAACTGGAAGGGCCCATGGACTGCCAATCAGGAAGAAAAAAGACCCCCAGCAGAATATGCCCCAATGTCAGGGCCCACAACTCGTGGAGGCCTTAGGGATGCAAAGAAAATGCAAAACTGAGGCTGGTGATGAAACAGAAGAGACAGCAGAAGATAGGCACCTAGTCTCACCAGCTGTGGAGACAAGAGGTGGGGCTGGGAGACGAAAGTCTCACTTACCTAATGCTTAGGAGCAAGGAAGCAGAACAGAGAAGGGCCCCACCCCCTAGGTAGGAGTGAGCCCTTCCATTTCACAGGTAACCCTTACCTGAACTCCTACTTTCCAAATATCATCTGCCAGGATGACTTGCAAACATGTTTCACCCAAATTCTTGTAAACATTTTTGGACATGTTGCTTTGTACACAAGTATAATCGTTTATCTAGACATTCTAAGGCACTTTATGAAATCTGACACACCAGCCTCACGTTTAAACTACAGGAGGGTTTAAGGGAGGATGTAAGGGGTGCTGAGCTGGGTCTTAGCTGTTTACCTGACAGCTAAGGATCTCATCTGATTGCTCCTGCATTACCTGAATTCTCTGACAACTGGCCCCTTCATGGAACCTGGGGAAGTCCAGATATACTCTCTGGCATCTTCAGAATTTCATTGTTTATTAATATTTTAGGGCAAGCTCTTTGCAGAGAAGGAAAATATAACTAAACTGTGCTCAACCTTGAGACAACCAAAGATGGAGGCAGAGTATTCCATTAATTAGTGTTTTATGTGAATGTTTACTGTGCAGAAATCTTTGGTGGACTGTTATAGTGGGGGTTTGAGTTTCCATATTTGGGGGGGGCTGGCTGGGGTTTTTATATGGGCTGGGATATTATTATTATTTTCCCTATTCATCAAAATAATGGGCTCCCACTAGCTGAAACTTCACTAACCAACATGTTTGTAAGATCGGACTATTCAGATAACAAGGGATGACAGCATTTGATATTTTCACCAGGTGAATGCTTTATTTCAATAAATATTTAATTTGGAGGGAACAATAGAGGGATAAGGCGCTCTTGTTTGTGTTCCCAAGACCTCACTTAATACAAAACTCACACATTCAAGTCTTGAGTTTCCCACAGGGAAAGATCCAAAGTGGGTGTGGGAAGGGGCCAGGAGTACATGCTCACAAATCACAACTCTTCAGACATTAGAGGGTGGTGTTATTTTAATTCTCCATTTTATTTTCTCGGCATTAACTCTAATAACTCTCAGAAACCCTCATATAAATGGACAGCAGAGTGCAGCACAGTGGTTATTAGAGCTTCTTCACAGCACTTCACTACAGCTAACTTCTGTTCCCAAGCAACTGATCAGGGCCCATCTTTCAGCCTAGTCTAGCTTCACTATCGATTGTCTGCAAATGACCGCACGTTGTAAGAGCAACGAACACCAGTCACCCAAGCTGTGATGCCCTCATTACGTGGCTCAGACCTGAGACGGCAGTGCTGTGATGTGGGGACAGCATACTCACGACGTGCTTCACCAGTCAGCCTTGAAACCGTGGGAGGTTTTGTTAGTTTTTTTTTAACTTGGCGGGAGGCATAAAGCTAAGCAGAGATGTTATTAACATTTTTATATCACAGTATCTCACATTTGCTTGATTCATTATTTTAACTTAGAAATGAAAACTCTAAATATAGTAATGAAACTATTTTTGTCTTTCACAGCAGACAATCATTAGAGTACATGCAAATGTGAAGAACTAGGATAAAAATCTCTCATTTGGAAAAAACCCTAAGAAACTGAAACATAAGTTAAAAATGACTACTTCCAAGTCATGAAAAGAAATAAAATACTGATAAACGATATGACATACAGGACCCTTGAAAGTCAGACACAAAAGGCCATATATTATATGATTCCCTTTATATGAAATGCCCATAATGCGCAAATACAGAGAAAGTAGATTAGTGGTTGCCAGGAGCTGAGAGTTGGGGAAACAGGGAGTAACTACTAATGGGTATAGGGTTTCTTTTTGGAATGATAAAATGTTCTAGAATTAGATACTGGTGACGGTTGCAGAGTTCTGTGAATATACTAAAACCCACTGAGCTACATACTTTAAAAAGTTGAACTTTATGGTACATTAATATTTTAATAAAGCTTTTATTAAAAAGAATTTTTTAAGTGGCTGCCTCAAGTAAGGGGGCTGAGCAAGAGGGGAGGAGGGAGATGGCACCTGTCCAACATCATGAACTGTGCTGCCCTATTTCTCTCGGGAGCCACCCTTGTGCCCTTACAGTCACGAAGTCCTCCTGCTTCGACTCCCTTATACCTCTCAGATCTGGCTTCCAGGTGCTGGTCAGACTGAAGCCTGATACGCCAGCCTGCTTCCCACAGCCCCCCTTCTTTCCACTCCCCTGCCAGAGGCAACTTTCCAGCCACATTCTAAACCCTGGTTCCTCCTGCTCCCAACACTTCTGAGGCTTCTCATTACCACCAGGATGGAGACCCAGCTCGGCGGCGGGCATTCAGGATGCGGCTGGGTTTGTCCTGGCCTCTTTGGCCTAAAATCTAATTATGGTCAGCCTTCACCCAGATGCTGGTCATGCGGTGCGTCCCCATGGTGCTACAGGAGGCCAGATTCCTGCACAGCAGGCTATGCCCACCCGGCTGATGTGTCCCCTTTACCCCTTGGCTCAGGGGTGTTCCATCTCCCAGGCAGCCTCCTCTCCACAGCAAAAGGACCCCAGGTGCTCTGTGCCCCACGGCCTCTATGCAGATTCTCCCAAGGCATCAGTTGTGCTCAGCTGCTCCAGGGCTCAGGGCCTCCCTAAGCACCTCTGGCTTGTGTCCTGAACCACATGTGCAGCACTAGGCAGATGGTGAGGTCTCAGCAGTTGACTGAACCACCCTGGAAAGTGGCATGGGAGCTCCTCAGGATGGGGGCTAACACTTCACCTTGTTCTCCTCCCAGTAAGCACAGAGCTCAGCAGACATCATCAATCTGAGTCAGGCACTGAATACATGAGGGAAGGTGGGAGGGAAAAAGAGGAGGGGGCTGCTAGCCAAAAGGGGGTTGCCCCTTATCCACCAAACAGCCCACAGCACAGCTGGGGCTCAGGACTCTGAACAGGCTGGTTGACAGTGAGGCTGCAAGTCATGGAAAACAGAATTCTCCCGACCTGTGCTCAGGAATCAATAAACTTCTAGCTGATTCCTTCTCTACCCAAACCCTAGCTGTGGTAAACTGAGGAAGTACATCGACTGGGATGGCCGGGAACACCCTGAACACCTCAGGGAACAGGGCAACCCTTCACGAAAAAGCAGAAACCCCATCTCACCTGGGCCTGGGCTGTCAGAAGCCTGGGGGCCCTCCTTCTCTCCTCAGGGGTCTTCTCCACGCACCAGGTAGAGTCCTGAGGACACAGAGCTGGGGGAGGAAAGTGAAGTCACAGAGGCAGTTCTCCCTCCCAGAAGTGTGACCACATGAGGCCCACCTCCTGACCCTGTCCTTCCCCTTTGGGCAAGGGAAAAACCCTACCTCCTCATGTTATAGATGAAAGCAGTGGGGCCAAGAAATTAAAGAATGTGCTTAAACACATGAACCATCTCCCCTTGCTGAGGTACTGTCTTAGACAAAGTGTCTCTTCACAGACTTTCTAGGCCTGAGCCCTAAGTGGCCACACATTCATTCTCATGCATCCTGTCCTGGAGATGTCATCACACTGTACCCCCCAGTGGAGTGTTCTGGTCCCTCTCTGTTCCAGCTCTGCCCAGAGACAGAGCTGGACCAGACCCCATGCCCCCGGCCCCCTCCTCCCCAGCTCTAATTCCCTGGCAATGGCAGGTTACTGCTGGGAGAGACCAAAACATGTTAACCAATGTGGCTGATGGGGACACAAGTTGTTTTTTTGCCACACCATGAGGCATGTCGGATCATAGTTCCCCGACCAGGGATGGAACCCGCATCCCCAGCAATGGAAGTGTGGAGTCTTAACTGCTGGACCACCAGGGAAGTCCGGGGACAAAAGTTCTTGACTCACCCCAGGAGGCCCACGGGTCAACAGCCGCCATCCCCCAGGACTGGTCCGTAAAGATACCTGCATCAGAGGATCCGGTTAGGACAAGGAAAGGAAAGAACTGTGACACCAATCCTAGTGACAAAAGGCTACAAATGGAAAAGGAGAACTGTCTCACTAATGCGCAAAACAAAATTCCATAAGTAGAGACCAAGGACGTGTGAAACAAACCCAACATAAGCTAGATTTATAGCAGAAATGCACAGGTGAGTCACTTTCAGGAATTTTATTGATATGATACAGCAACAGAACAATTAAGGACAGAACTCCTTAAATAGGCTGGAGAGGTATTTGATAAAATTTAACATTACTTAATTTTTAAAAAATATTAGGAAAAAGATACTCCTTTGATATCTTTAATGACAGATACATGAAAGCTCGCTTAAAGATAAAACACACCACTGACCCTATTTTAACATTGTTCTTATATCATAAACCACTGCTATATAATAAGAAACAATAATAATAGTAAAAAAATATGGGAGTAGTAGAGAAATTTTGGTTGTACGTACGACTGTCATACAAATCACTAGAAAATCTCTTAAAACTAATGAGACTTCTCAGGAGATGACTATGAAATACACAAAAATTACATTGACTTTAATACAAACAACCAACTTTTTAAAGAAATCTCACTCAGTTCTAATTCTATACCAAGACAGAGAGACACCCCCCTCCCCAATCCCAAAAGCCCTCAGCCCCTCTCCAGCAGATCATTGCTGGGGAGGCCCAGAAGAAACAAGATTTGTACTCACCCCAGGAAGCCCACGGGTTGATGGCTGCCATCCTGCAGGATTAATCCACCAGGAGCTTGCCCAGGAACAGTGGATTTGGGTGATTATTGAAAGCAACTGCAATACCCACCTAGTGATAAAAGTGTAAAAAGACAAAAAATGGTCTTTCCTCACAGAAGATCCAGTGGGAATAAAGAGAACACATCCACAGAAACAACAAAAGACTCCTACAGAGCATTATAAGAATACAACTTACATGTCAAAAACACAACAGAATTTCTTAAGAGAAATGAAGGGTGACAAGAATTAGCTGAAAAATGGGCACGTTCCAGAATAAGAGAGCAGAAATTTGTCAACAGTTCTCAAGAGACAGCTACTGACAAGAACAAGGTAGCTTTTCTGTTGATTTAACGAAAATTACTATAAAATCTACGTACAACCTTCACATGTAAGTGGCTGTCTAGAGCAGAAAGCAGGAACGGGGGAATGACTGCTTAATGGGTTCAGGGGTTTCTTCCTTGGGGGTTGTTATGAAAATGTTCTGGAATTATATAGTGGTGATGACTGCACAACGTTCTGAAAACACAACAAAATCACTGACTTGTACGATTAAATGGTTAATTTTATGTTACGTAAAGTTTATCTTAAAAAAAAAAAAAATCCACCTGGAAGACCTACCAGGCCCAAGTCTGTCTGTCTCTTCTGGTGCAGAGGCCAAAAGAAAGCCGGGTTTGGAGCCCAGACCATCCCCAACTCCCTAACTTCTAGGCTTATTTATGCAAGTCCCGCACCTCTCTGAGGGCCCGACGCCCACTGGCAGAGCTCTGCGGATTCCTGGGAGCGTGCATAAAGCACTGGGACGCCCACTGGGCACCAGGAGCACCGGGATCTGCGCCCGAACTCCAAGTCGGCACACTGAGTATTCTGCACTATTGCCTGCAACTTGACAAAGTCCTCGATCACTGTACGTTTAAAGGAGCCCTGGGCTGTTCCCAACCCCCTTTTGACCTGCCTCTGCGTCAGATGAGAACGGACTCGTACGAGAAACGCCCGCCAGGGAAGGAAAGGTGGACTCCCCGGAACGGCCTCGGAGGGGTCCTCGCCTCCTGCTTCCTGGCCTCCCACCCCGGATTTCCTCCGCAACCCTGCCGCGGGTGCGATGCTCTCAGCCCGTCCCGGGAACGGCCGGACTCACCTGGTTCGCAACCACCGGCCTCGCACCCCTGAGGGCCAGTGCCCGCCGCTCTTCGCGGGCGACTTAACAAGCTCGCGTTTGCTTCGCCGCGGACGTTCGGCCCGGCTCGCCCGTGCGTCTGGGGTTCCCGCCCGGAGGACAAAGGCCTGACGCGCAGGGCTCACCCAGGCCCGCCCAGTTGTTCCAGCGCGGCCGCGAGGCCGTAGGCGGGCCGAGGGACCTGCCCTGGCGTCGCGCCCGCCGCGAGTGTAGGCGTCGGCTCTCTCCACCCGTTCTCCCGACCTCCCGGCCAGCGGCAGCGGCAGCGGCAGCAGTAGCAACCCCACGGACTGAGCGACCGCCTCACCTCAGCAGCGGACAATGGCGGTCGCTCCCCCCACCCACCCCGGCCCGGCGTCGACCGGGACGCTCCGCGCAGGCTGCTGGGAGTGGTAGTTCTAGGCGGAGCGCTTCCGGTTAGACCTTGGCAAGTTCCTGGAGGTGCTCGGCCTCCGAGTTCCTCCTTCTAGGGATTTACCCAGACCGCCGTGCCAGAGACCTCGGCGAGGCGGGCGGTGCTTTCCCAGCCGCGGACCGCGCTGCCAGCCACCGCTGCCTGACGTTAGGGGGCCTCGGTAAATCGCCGGTCGGCGAGCCTGTTTGCCCGTCCGTAAAACGGCAGCTCGCTGTAGCCGCACTTAGCAGTGGGAACTTGGTTGAAGTCTGAGCACTTTCCTTTTCGTTCAGTAGTTAAAATATTGTAAGGAAGTGGTTCTTAGGATACCCTTTTCGGACAAGGAACCTAATTTTGAGCTTCCCCTCACATATGAAGCCCTACTCCTTGTTACCGAGACGAATTTGAGTCCACTGGACCGAGGCCTCCTTCCCAGCTGTGTTGGGGGTGACCCTTGCTCAGAGCTCCCTAGCCCCTTCCTCCTTGCTCCTTATTCGCCATGCCTGTTCATTTCTCCACCCTAGTTTCGACTGATTAGTTGGGGGGACAGCATGGTGGTCAGAGAGAGGGTGGCCAATTGCAGAGAGCCTTAGGGGCATCGGAATGGCTCTGGCTGTGAGCCGGGGCATGGTTCTGAGCAGAGCAGTCATGGGCTCTGGCCTCCTCAAAGGATCACTCACTCTGGCTTCTGTGTGGAGAGCAGAGTTAAAGAGGGTGAGGGAAGGACCGGAGTGACCTTTGTACCAATGCAGTAATCAACGTGGGTGGTGATCCGTGGTCAGATTGTGGAAATGTTAGCGTTCAAAAGGTAGCGCCAACAGGCAGTAGGTTAAAGGTTGTGCATCATGGGCTGCAGTCCAGTCTGTAATACCCAGAAGGGCATGGAGGAGGCCTCTCAATGCAGACCAGTTCACCAAGGCCCGGTGGGGAGTGGGTTACAGGTGTGTGATGATACTGCTTCCCTCATACCCAGGCGCTCTCCTACTTCAGGTACCCCAGCTTGTTGGATGCTACCTTGTTCTCTCTGTCATGAGGTGGCAACGCTGGGGCGAACAGCCATCTTGGATGCCACATTATGGAAGTCTGGGCTACGTCTGAGCTGTTACTGAGGTTTCTGAGTGGGGAGAGACCAGAGCAGTAGGAGAATATAGGTTGTCTGTGGACATGCCCTTCCTCTGAGAGGTGCCCAAAATGTGGTCACCCCATGCCACGTGAAGGGCTTCAGCTGGTTCCATTTCCTCATAACCAGATAAGAATAAAAGGTAAAGGGGGGGGGGCTTCCCTGGTGGCTCAGTGGTTAAGAATCCACCTGCCAATGCAGGGGACACAGGTTCGAGCCCTGGTCTGGGAAGATCCCACATGCTGCAGAGCAACTAAGCCCGTCTGCCACAACTACTGAGCCTGCGCTCTAGAGCCCATGAGCCACAACTACTGAAGCCCGCGCACCTAGAGCCCATGCTCTGCAACAACAGAAGCCACCGCAATGAGAAGTCTGCACGCCACAATGAAGAGTAGCCCGCACTGGCCACAACTAGAGAAAGACTGCACGCAGCAAGGAAGACCCAATGCAGCCAAAAATAAATAAATAAATAAAACTTAATTTTTTTCTTTTTTTTAAGGTAAAGGGAGGAGGAGTCCAGGATACATTACTTGGAACAAGTAGGGTATTTTATGAACTGGGTTGTAGGGTCGCCAATAGTATAATAACTAGCACAAGTCAGGTAGACTTGAAGTTACCTTATGCTCTCAAATCCTAGGATTAACTCATCTTCTCCAGCTAAGAGTCCAAGAGTCACTAAGGTCAACACTATGGGATTCTGAGTCCCCCCAGAAGGATGTCAAGATGCTTCTCTACTGCTGGTGACCATGCAGAAGCTCCCCCTTCCACAGCTTTTCTTTGCCACCAGTTCACCATTCAGCATCCAAATTCTCACATCTCTGGAATTTAACGTTAGACGTCTGCTCGTTTCTCTTTTAAGAAAAACATGTAAAATATAGTAAACTCGTCAGAGATTCAATTAAACCCTGTGAACACACTCCTAAGCTGAAAAAAAAAAAAAATCAACCTACAGGCTGAAACACCTGTGTTTCCCTCGCCAACAGAAACTCCCCTTCCTCCAGAGGCAGCCACTATCCTGAATGAGATGTGGATCACTCCACACATTTCCTGAAACTTTACATGCCTGTATTCGAAAGCAATACAAAGCACGTTTTGCATTCATATAAATGCATAAGATTTCATCTGCAACTTGCATTTTTTGCTCCATATATAAGGAAAGATTTATCCTTTCAGTGTTGTTTTTTTTTTTCCATGTGGCATGTGGCATCTTAGTTCCCCAACTAGGGAATCGAACCCGGCCCCCTGCAGTGGAAGCATGGAGTCCTAATGCATTATTTAAAAACTGCATTATTATTATTTTTGCATTATTTTTTTGACGTGGACCATTTTTTAAAAGTCTTTATTGAATTTGTTACAGTATTGCTTCTGTTTTATGTTTTGGTTTTTTGGCCATGAGGCATGTGGGATCTTAGCTCTGTAACCAGGGATCGAACCTGCACCCCCCTGCACTGCAATGCAAAGTCTTAACCACTTGACAGCCAGGGGAGTCCCAACAACTGCCTTTTTATATGCTTGTAATGAACAACTGGAAATTGAAAATAGTAAAAATACCATTTACCACAACATCAAAAACTATGAAATACTTAGGGATAAATGTGACAAAAGATGTGAAGAATTCATACATTGAAAACAAAATATTGCTGACAGAAATTAAAGAAGACCTAAACAAATAGAGAAATATACTTGTTCATATGTTAGAGGACTCAATATTGTTAGGATGTCAATTATCTTCAAATATATAGATTCAATGCACTTCCAATCAAAATCCCAGCAGGAGTTTTTGTAGACATGGAATCATATGAAAATGCAAAGACCTAGAATAATAAAAACAACTCAGAAATGAAGAAAATTGGACAGTTAGCACTATCTGATCTCAAAAATTATTATAAAGTACATAATCGAAACAGCATGGTATTGGTATAAACAGATACACCAATGAAACAGAATATATAGTTCAGAAATAATCCCATACATCTATGGATAACTGATTTTTTACAACGGCACAGAAGGCAACACAGTGGGAAAAGGATAGCCTTTGCAACAATTTTAAAAAAAAGAACTTTGATCCTTAACTCACACCGTGTACAAAAATTAAATAAAAGTGGATCAACAATTAGAACCCAATTTTTGAAAAAAGGGTAAAATATTTTCATGAAAGAAGATGGGCAAATGACAAAAAGCACTTGAAAAGATGCTCAACATCAATAGTAATTAGAGAAATATAAATTAAAACCACAATCAGTGGCTTCCCTGGTGGCACAGTGGTTAAGAATGCAGGGGACACAGGTTCAATCCCTGGTCTGGGAAAATCCTACATGCCACAGAGCAACTAAGCCCATGCACCACAGCTACTGAGCCTGCGCTCTAGAGCCCGTGAGCCAC